GGTGGAGGGGACTGGTTCCTGTGTTCTGGTGGATGAGGCTGGATCTTGTCTTTCTGGTGGGCAGGACCACATCCGGTGGTGTGTTTTGGGGTGTCCATGACCTTATTATTATTTTAGGCAGCCTCTCTGCTAATGGGTGGGGTTGTGTTCCTGTGTTGCTAGTTGTTTGCCATAGGGTGTCCAGCAGTGTAGCTTGCTGTTCTTAACGTTGAGATGGAGATCTGTGGGAGAGCTTTTGTTGTTTGATGTTACGTGGGGCTGGGAGGTCTTTGGTGGACCAGTGTCCTGAACTCCGCTCTCCCACCTCAGAGGCTCAGGACTGACATCCGGCCAGAGCACCAAGACCCTGTCAGCCACATGGGTCAGAAGAAAAAGAATGAAAGAAAGGAAAAAAAAAAATAAAGTAAAATAAAGTTATTAAAATAGAAAAAAATTAAGAAATAAAAAGTAATAAAAAAAAGGAGAGAGAAAGAAGAGAGCAACCAAACCAAAAAACAAATCCACCAATGATAGCAAGCACTAAAAAGTATACTAAAAAACAAAATGGGGCTTCCTTGTTGGTGCAGTGGTTGAGAGTCCGCCTGCCGATGCAGGGGACATGGGTTCGTGCCCTGGTCTGGCAAGATCCCACATGCCGCGGAGCAGCTGGGCCCGTGAGCCATGGCTGCTGAGCCTGCGTGTCCAGAGCCTTGTGCTCCGCAACGGGAGAGGCCACAACAGTGAGAGGCCCACGTACCGCAACAAAACAAAACAAAACAAAACAAAAAACAAAACGGACAGTCAGAACCCTAGGACAAATGGCAAAAGCAAAGCTATACAGACAAAATCACACAAAGAAGCATACACATACACACTCACAAAAAGAGAAAAAGGGAAAAAAATTATATAAAATGTAAAAAGGAAGAGGGCAACCAAATCAGTAAACAAATCTACCAGTTATAATAAGCTGTAAATACTAAACTAAGAGAAACATAAAACCAGAAACAAATGAGATACTGAAAGCAAACCCCAAGTCTACAGTTGCTCCCATAGTCCACTGTGTCATTTTTGGGATGATTCGTTGTCATTTCACAGATACAGAGTACATCACGTTGACTGTGAAGATTTAATCTGCTGCTCCTGAGGCTGCTGGGAGAAATTTCCCTTTCTCTTCTTTGTTCACACAGCTCCTGGGGTTCAGCTTTGGATTTGGCCCCATCTCTGCGTGTAGCTTACCTGAGGGCATCTCTTCTCCACCCAGACAGGACGGGTTAAAGGAGCGGCTGGTTAGGGGGCTCTGGCTCACTCAGACTGGGGGGAGGGAGTGGTACGGAATGCAGGGAGAGCCTGTGGTGGCAGAGGCCGGTGTGACGTTGCAACAGCATGAGGCATGCCATGTGTTCTTCCATGGAAATTGTCCCTGGATCATGGGACCCTACAGTGGCGGGCTGCACAGGCTCCCAGGAGGGGAGGTATGGATAGTGACCTGTGTTTGCACACAGGCTTCCTGATGGCTGAAGCAGCAGCCTTAGCATTTCATGCCTGTCTCTGGTGTCCCTGCTGATAGCTGCGGCTCGCATCTGTCTCTGGAGCTTGTTTAGGCGGTGCTCTGAATCATCTCTCCTCGCGCACCCTGAAACAATGGTCTCTTGCCTTTTAGGCAGGTCCAGATTTTTTCCCAGACTCCCTTCCGGCTAGCTGTGGTGCACTATCCCCCTTCAGGCTGTGTTCACACAGCCAACCCTAGTTCTCTCCTTGGGATCTTAACTCTGAAGTCCGAGCCTCAGCTCCCAGCCCCCACCCACCCCGATGTGTGAGCCGACAAGCCTCTCAGGCTGGTGAGTACTGTCGGCACCAATCCTCTGTGCAGGAATCTCTCCGCTTTGCCCTCTCCACCCCTGTTGCTCTGCTCTCCTCCGTGGCTCCGAAACTTCCACCCCCGCCAATCCCCACCAGTGAAGGGGCTTCCTAGTGTGTGGAAACTTTTCCTCCTTCACAGCTCCCTCCCAGAGGTACAGGTCCCATCCCTATTCTTTTGTCTTTGCTTTTCCTTTTTTCTTTTGCCCTACCCAGGTATGTGGGGAGTTTCTTGCCTTTTGGGAAGTCTGAGGTCTTCTGCCAGCATTCAGTATGTGTTCTATAGGAATTGTTCCACATGTAGATGTAGTTTTGATGTATTTGTGGGGAGGAAGGTGATCTCCACGTCTTAACTCCTCCACCATCTTTCCTCATTTCTTTTTATTTTATTCTGCAGCAGTGATTTCCACCATTCTTTCTTCTAGCTCGCTCATTCTTTCTTCTGCCTCAGTTATTCTGTTGGTGCTTCCTTCTAGTTTTTTTTTTTTTTTTCCTGTACCTGGGCCTCTCACTGTTGTGGCCTCTTCCGTTGCGGAGCACAGGCTCTGGACATGCAGGCTCAGCGGCCATGGCTCATGGACCTAGCCGCTCTGCGGCATGTGGTATCTTCCCAGACTGGGGCACGAACCCGTGTCCCCTGCATCGGCAGGCGGACTCTCAACCACTGCGCCACCAGGGAAGCCCCCTTCTAGTGTATTTTTCATTTCAGTTATTGTATTGTCCATTTCTGTTTGTTTGTTGTTTAGTTCTTCTAGCTCTTCATTAAACATTTCTTGTATCTTCTGAATCTGTACCTCCATTCTTTTTCTGAGATCTTGGATCATCTACACTATCATTACTCTGAATTCTTTTTCAGGTAGATTGCCATTCTCCACTTCATTTAATTGTTCTTCTGGGCTTTTATCATGTTCCTTAGTGTGGGATATGTTTCTCTGCTGTCTCATTTTGTCTAACTTCCTGTGATTGCAGTGTCCATTATGCAGGCTACAGGGTTGTATTTCTTCTTCCTTATTCTGCCTGCTCCCTGGTGGATGAGGCTGTCTAAGAGGCTTGTGCAGGCTTTCTGGTGGGAGGGACTGGTTACTGCCCACTGGGGTGTGGAGCTGGGTCTTGTCCCTCTGTTGGGCAGGGCTGGGTCATGCTGTGTGTTTAGTGGGCAGCTGTGTGGTCAGGAAGACTTTAAGTAGCCTGTCTGCTGATGGGTGGGGCTGTGTCCCACCTTGTTGGTTGTTTGGCCATGGCGTCCCAGTAATGGAAGCTTCAGGTTGTTGGGTGGGGCCAGGTCTTGGTGAGAAATTGGTGGCCTCCAGGAAGGCTCACACTGATGAGTACTCCCCAGAACTACTGCTGCCAGTGTCTTTGTCCCTGCAGTGAGCCACAGCCACCCCTGCCTCCAATGGAGACCCTCCATTATTGGCAGGTAGGTCTGGCACAGTCTCTTATGAGGTCACTGCTTTTTTCCCTGAGTCCTGGTGCACATGAGACCTTGTGTGTGCCCTCCAAGAGTGGAATTTGTGTTTCCCCAGTCCTGTGGAATTCCTGTGATCAAACTGGCCTTCAAAACCAGGTTCTCTGGGGGCTTCTTCTCCCATTGCCAGAAACCCAGGCTGTAGATGCTGATGTGGGGTTCTCCCTCCTGTGGTATAATTATTTTCCAGTTTGTTAGTCATCCACCTGGCAGATATGGGATTTGATTTTATTGTGATTGTGCCCCTTGTACCAGCTCCTTGTGGCTTCTTCTTTGTCTTTGGATGTAGGGTATCTTTTTGTAGCTTCCAGCGTGTTTTTGTTGATGGTTGTTCAGCAGTTAGCTGTGATTTTGGTGATTATGTAAGAAGAGGTGAGCTCAGTTCCTTCTACTGTGCCATCTTGTCTTTTTGTCTGGAAACTCCAGTCTTAGTGATACAGGTGTAATCTGGTCAGCAGCAACTCCATGAATCTGGGATTATATCTGAGTAAACTGGATGCTTGTTGGTCCTTTTAAGAAAGTGTCCTTGGAAAAGGTGTGAGTAGTAATCACAGAAGGTTCTCAAGAGCACCACTCACCTTGTGCTGTTTATTACAATGGATATGACTCAGGACCAGCCAGATGGGATATATGCATCAGGCAAGGGAAATGGCACGGAGCTTCCATCTCTCTCTGAGAGCATCACTCTTCTAGCATCTCTCCGTGTTCACTGTCTCAGAAGTTCCTAATTTGCTTTTCCTTTGATGGATAACTTCCCAGGGTACAGAATTCTAGGTTGGGTTTTTCTTTTCTCTCAACACTTTAAATATTTTCACTCTCTCCTTGCCTGCATGGTTTCTGAGAAGATAGATTTAATTTCTATCTTTGTTCTCTGTAGGTAAAGTGGTTTTTCCTTCTGGCTCCTTTCAGGATTTTATTTTTGATTTTTCTGTAGTTTGGAAATGAATTGCCTAGTTGTAGGATTTCTTTGTTTGTTTTCATTTTTGTTTTTGCATTTATCTTGCTTGATGTTCTCTGAGCTTTCTAGATCTGTGGTTTGGTGTCTGACACTAATTTGGGGGAATTTTCAGTTATTATTTCAAATATTTCTTCTGTTACTTTTTTTCTTTCTTGTATTCCCATTATTTATATGTTATACTTTTTTGTTATCTACGTTCTTGGTTATTCTGTTCTGTTTTTTCTCCTTGCTTTTCAGTTTTAGAGATTCCTATTGAGATATCCCCAAGGTCGGAGATTCTTGCCTCAGCCATGTCCAGTCTATTACTGAGCCCATCAAAGGCATTCTTCATTTCTATTATAGTGTTTTTGATCTCTGGCATTTCTTTTTGGTTCTTTCTTAGTATTTACATCCCTCTGTTGACATTGCTTATCTGTTCTTTCATGGTGTCTGTTTTATCCATTGGAGCCCTTAGCATGTTAATCACAGTTGTTTTAAATTCTTAGTGTGATAATTTCAACATTTCTGCCACGTTGTGTTTTTTGCTTTTCAGTGTGTCTTGTAATTTTTTCTTGATAACTGGACATGATGTACCAAGAAAAAGTAACTGTTATAAATAGGTCTTTAGCAATGTGGTGGTGAGATGTTGGGGGAGGGGAGCATTCTGTAGTCTTGTTATTAGTTCTCAGTCTCTGACTGAACCTATATCTTTGGATTGTGAACTTCACAAGTGTTTTAGTTTTTTTCCTCTCTCCTTAGGTTGGACAAGATGGCAAGAGTGGGCTGCTGTTGGGTATTTCCCTTCCCCAGGTCAGTTAGCCTCTGACAATACGCTAGCAGGTTAGGCTCTGGTTAACTGATTTCTCCTGAGGGCAGAACAGAGTGCTGGCCTATTTCAAAATTCTTCCTTTTCTCCTCCCCCTGCTAGAAGCATGAGGAGATTTTCTCTGATATTTACTTTGAGGGCCTGGTCAAGCTCCTGGATATAAATCTTACAAAATTGTGGGGGTGATGCCCCCTTGAGGTTTCTTTTTTTTTTTAAGATTTTATTTTTAGAGCAGTTTTAGTTTCACAGCAAAATTGAGAGTAAGTTACAGAGATTTCCATCCGCTGCCCGACACATGCATAGCTTCTCCCATTATCAGAATCACTCACCAGAGTGATACGTTTGTTACCAAGGATGAACCTACCTTGATACATCATAATCACCCCAGATCTGTAGTTTACCTTAGGGTTCACTCTTGGTGTTGTTCATTCTTTGGGTTTGTACAAATGTTTAAAGACATATATCTATCATTATAATGTACAGAGTTTCACTGCCCTAAAATCCTCTGTGCTCTGCCTTTTCATCCCTTATCACCCTCACCCCTTGCAATCACTGATTTTTTTGTCTCCATAGTTTTGCCTTTTCCTGAATGTCAGTCATGTATTTGGAATCATACAGTATGTAGTCTCATTCAGGTTGGCTGCTTTTTTTAGTAATATGCATTTAAGGTTCCCCCATGTCTTTTCATGGCTTAATAGCTCATTTCTTTTTTAAAAAATATTTTTATTATGGATCTTTTGTTATTTAGATCATTTCAGCAAAAAGATTAAGGCTAAATTACAATGGAACTGCCATTGACTAAGTAATATGAGAGATCTACTTTTCTCCAACTACCAGTCTTTTTACTTTTTTCGGAGTTCAGTCACCATAGGTCAAATTCTTTTGGAGATAAATGTCAGTTTTAATAATATATGATATCAGGCTTTAGTTCTGTTTACAGTGCTATAAATATCTTTGTGACAAAAGATTTAGAGGACTTTGAAATTGGCACATTACTTATAATATTTTAATACTATAAAAGTTAATAATGAATGTTAAATTTACCAAAGACTTCTGGAGGAGTCTTTGGTAAATTTAACCAGTATTTAACCAAGTATATAACAAGTATACTTGGTTTTGTTTTATACCTCATTGTTAAGCTAAAGTGGTAACATTTAAGTTAAAAGGAACTGGTTACAGTCTTTTTAAGGCCATGGGCCAGAGATCATTTCAAATTTTTGGTCTTCATATTAGGTTTCATAGCAGTACAGTTTAAGTGTAGTTGATTTACAATATTATATTATTTTCAGGTGTACAACATGGTGATTTAAAATTTTTGTAGATTATACTCCATTTATAGTTACTATAAAATGATGGCTGTATTCCCTGTGCTATAAATATATCCTTGTAGCTTATTTATTTTGTACAAAGTGGTTTGTACCTCTTAACCTCCTACCCCATCTTGCCCCTCCCCTCTTCCCTCTCCCACTGGTAACCACTAGTTTGTTCTCTATATCTGAGTCTGTTTCTGTTTTGTTATATTCATTCGTTTTATGCTTTAGATTCCACATGTAGGTGATAACATACAGTATTTGTCTTTTTCTGTCTGATTTATTTCACTAAGCATAATAGCCTCCAGTTTCAGTCATGTTGTTGCAAATGGGAAAACTTCACTTTTTTATGGCTCTGTAGTATTACATTGTGTGTGTGTATATATATATATATACACACACATACGTACATATATATATATATATATATATATGTATATATACATACATACATACCACATTTTCTTTATCCATTCATCTGTTGATGAACTTTTAGGTTGCTTCCATATCTTGTCTATTATAAAAAATGCTGCTATGAACATTGGGGTGCATGTATTTTTTTTTTTTTGGCTGCACTGGGTCTTTGTTGCTGCGTGCAGGCTTTCTCTAATTGCAGTGAGCGAGGGCCACTCTTTGTTGTGGTGCATGGGCTTCTTATTGCGGTGGCTTTTCCTGTTGCGGAGCATGGGCTCTAGGTACACGGGCTTTGGTAGTTGTAGCACACGAGCTCAGTAGTTGTGGCATGCGGGCCCTAGAGCACGCGGGCTTCAGCAGATGTGGTGCATGGGCTCAATACTTGCGGTGCACGGGCTCTAGGGTTTATGGGCTTCAGTAGTTGTGTCGCGCAGGCTCAGTAGTTGTGGCTCATGAGCTCTAGAGCACAGGGTCAGTTGTGGTGGTGCACGGGCTTAGTTGCTCCGTGGCATGTGGGATCTTCCCGGACCAGGGCTCGAACCTGTGTCCCTTTCATTGGCAGGCAGATTCTTAACCACTGCACCACCAGGGAAGTCCTGCATGTGTCTTTTTGAACGAGTGTTTTTCTTTTCTTTGCATAAATTCCCAGGAGTGGAATTACTGGATAATATGGTAGTTCTATTTTTAGTCTTTTGAGGAACATTTGTACTGTTTTCCACAGTAGCTGCACAAATTTACATTCCCACCAACAGTGTACAGAGGTTACCTTTTCTCCATATCCTTGCCAACACTTGTTATTTGTGGTCTTTCTGATGATAGCCATTCTCACAGGTGTGAGGTGATATCTCAGTGTGGTTTTCATTTGTATTTCCCTGATGATCTAATCGTTTCATTTGTGCCTGTTGGCCATCTCTATGTCTTCTTTGGGTCCTCTACCTATTGTTTAATCAGATTTTTTTTTGTTTTTGATGTTGAGTTGTATGAGCTGTTTATATATTTTGGATATTAATCCGTTATTGGACATATCATTTGCACAAATCTTCTTCCCTTCAGTCAGTTGCCTTTTCATTTTGTTGATGGTTTCCTTTGTTTTGCAAAAGCTTTTAAGTTTGATTAGGTCCCATTTGTTTATTTTTTGCTTTTGTTGCTCTTGCCTGAGAAGACACATTCAAAAAATATTGCTAAGAACAGTGTCAAAGAGTGTAGTACCTGTCTTTTCTTCTAGGAGTTTTATGGTTTCAGGTCTTACATTAAAGCCTTTAATCCATTTTTTTTTTTTTTTTTTTTTTCGGGTTGCAGGCCCCTCACTGCTGCGGCCCCTACCGTTGCAGAGCACAGGCTCCTGACGCGCAGGCTCAGCTGCCATAGGCTCACGGGCCCAGCCGCTCCGCGGCATGCGGGATCCCCCCAGACCGGGGCACGAACCCGCGTCCCCTGCATCGGCAGGCGGACCCCCAAACACTGCACCACCAGGGAAGCCCGCCTTTAATCCATTTTGAGTCTGTTTTTGTATATGGTGTAAGAAAATGTTCTAGTTCCATTCTTTTACATGTAGCTGTCTAGTTTTCCATGGAGTTTTTAACTCTCAGACTTGTGTACACTGAACCTCCAGCAATTGGTCAATTACAGTTCAGGCTTTCCTACCCTGCTGCTGGTTCCCATGATGGTTTCCATTTCTAAGTCTACTCCAATAAGCCATGACTTCTTGCATTTGCCTGTCTGTCTTTCCAATAGTAGGCTCAGCAGTTTCTACTGTGCCCTCATTTCTCTTAAGGATCCTAGAAGAGTTGATTTTTCAGTCTGTTCAGCTTTTTACTTGATAGACAGTGCAGTGACTTTCAAGCTCTTTAAATTTGGAACTGGAAACTGGAAGTTCTGAACTACTTTTTTAAAATAAAAAACTAATGCATAAAAAAGTAGGGTATGTATATGATTTTTAAAAGTAAACTATATGGAAGGCAATGCAATGAAACATTTAAGTCTCTTTCCTATCCTGGACCTTAGTTCTCCAGGCCTTTTCCCTAGAGGAAACCACTGTTAATAGTTTCATGTGTATTCTTCCATAGGTAATCTCAGCAATTACAAATGTATGTGTATATATTTTGTAAAAAAAGCAAATGGGGGGCTTCCCTGGTGGCGCAGTGGTTGAGAGTCCGCCTGCCGATGCAGGGGACGCGGGTTCGTGCCCCGGTCCGGGAAGATCCCACATGCCGCGGAGCGGCTGGGCCCGTGAGCCATGGCCGCTGAGCCTGCCCGTCCGGAGCCTGTGCTCCACAACGGGAGAGGCCACAGCAGTGAGAGGCCCGTGTACCACAGAAACAAAAACAAAGACAAAAAACAAAACAAAACAAAAGCTAATGGAACCATATTCAACATGTGCTGGACCTTGTTTTTGCTTCTTGTATCTTAGAGTTCATGTCATATCAGCATACAAAAATCTATTTCTTTTTTTATGACTGCATAATATTGTGCTAGATATGTATGTCATAATTTATTTAACACCCCTCACTTCCCCATGATGAACATTTATGATGTTTCCAGGCTTTTAATTAAAATCAGTGTAGGGACTTCACTGGTGGTCCAGTGGTTAAGACTCCATTCTTCCATGGCAGGGGGCACAGGTTTGATCCTGGGTTGGGAAAGTTCCACATGCTGCGCAGTGTGGCGAAGAAAAAAAAAAAATCAGTGTAGCCATGTATATACATCTTTGCAATGTGTGAATATATCTGTGAGATAGATTACTAGATGTTATCTCCTTGATATTAATAAATACATATAACTTTTATGAGTATAACATGATTTTTTCCCCCACTCCTTTAGAAAGAAGCCTAAGAAGAAAGAAAATGAGACTGGATGTAGAAGGTCAATGCGATTACTAAAAGTTGATCCTTCAGGAGTTTCATTACCCGCAACTCCAACCCAGCCAATAGTAGTAGCAGATGAAAATGTAAGAAAGAGTGCAAATACAATATATTAACCAATAAAATACTCAAAAATTTGAAGTGTTTGAAAGTAGAGTAAAAAGTCATTAAATTATGTTTAATTTGTGCATCATTAATTTAATACTTGGCTGTTGTATGGTTTAATGAGTAAGATTTCAAACTCATAAGAGACTGGCTTGGATTCTATATTTCTGCAGACTTACCCTGTGTGGGATTGTGGGTAAATTCCTTAGTCTTTCTGAGCCCCAGTTTCCCCATTTTTTTTTTTTTGCGGTACGCGGGCCTCTCACTGTTGTGGCCTCTCCCGTTGCTAAGCACAGGCTCCGGGTGAGCAGGCTCAGCGGCCATGGCTCACGGGCCTAGCCGCTCCGCAGCATATGGGATCTTCCCGGACCGGGGCACGAACCCTTGTCACCTGCATTGGCAGGTGGACTCTCAACCACTGCACCACCAGGGAAGCCCTCCCCATTTTTAAAATGGCAACAATAGCAGAAACCTCTCAAAGAGGTGTTGTGAGGGATAAATGAAATAGTATCTATAAAGTTTCCTACATTTATATTAAGGACTTAGTAAGCAATAAATGGTAGTTATTAATATTATTAGTAATAAATAATATATGTCAGTAGTGATGGGGTTCTCTTACTGTAGTTTAATTTTACGCTATCAGTGAGTGGAAAGAGTTTTATTTAGCAAATTTATTGTCTAAATAAGATTATGAGTATATTTTTTATTCAGGAGCACCTACTGGTTTTTTATTTTTTTATTGCACCTACTGTTTTTAATACTTTGTATGTAAGTGCTTAATTATAAATTGGAAGATTAGCCTAGTGCTTTGAGAGCTAATTGCAAATTAAGTTACTAGGGGAAGAGTAGCTTTCAAATTTTTTTGAAGCCTCCATCCATCCATGATAAGAAATACATTTACATTGAACCCGTTCCACACACACACACACACACCTGAAACAAAACTTTTGTGAAATGATACTTATCCTTACTACATGTGATACACTTTTGTATTTCCTAGTCTGTTCTTTTCTCAGTCACTAAAACACACTGTTCGTTGTAATGTATTAAAATGATTTCATGACCTATGGGTTACAACCTGTGATTTAAAAAACACTGACATACAGTAAGAGAAAGACAAATATCATATGGTATCACTTAATATGTGGAATCTAAAATATGGCACAAATGAACCTATCTACAAAACAGAAACTCACAGAAATAGAGAACAGACTTGTGGATGCCGGGTGAGGGGGGCAGTGGGGGAGGGAAGGACTGGGAGTTTGGGATTAGCAGATGTAAACTATTATATACAGGATGGGTAAACAAGGTCCTACTGTATAGCACAGGGAACTATATTCAGTATCCTGTGATAAACCATAATGGAAAAGAATATGAAAAAAGAATGTCTGTGTATAACTGAGTCACTTTGCTGTATAGCAGAGATGGACACAACATTGTAAATCAACTATGCTTCAGTTAAAAAAATAAAAAATAAAAAACACATAGAGTAATAACTTTGAGGTATGAAATTGAACTGATCTGAATCAATTCCCAGGTACTGGCAGTGTAACTTTGGACAAATTAACTTCTCTAAGTTTCATTCCACTGTCTTTATAATGTGATATCTCATTCACTGGATTATTAAGGGGATTAAATGAGATAATACATGTTATTACTTTACAGGATACTTGGCATTCATTCATTGAACAACTGTTTTTGAATGCTAACTATGTGTCACCACTGTTGTTGGTATTGAAAGTAAAGTAGTAAGAAATCTTACGCTTACATTCTAGGGCAGAGCGACAACCAACTTTTTTTTCTTATTTTTTATAACAGCCTTTGTTACCTCCTGGGCCTTTAGAAATGACTTCTGAAAATCGAGATGATAACAGTGAACTATTTAAAGGATTTCTGCAGACTTGGGCAGAAGTGAGCAAGGTGTCACTTGGGAGGGTAAGCCCAAGCTTTTAGAATCATCTGTTAAGCAAATTTTAGTACATATATTAACTTAGTGCTTTGGTTTCTCCCATTGTTTCAGACAAGAAGTAAAAACACTGAGAAGGAGTTATCTAGCATTAAAAGGTGAGTTAAAATTCCTTGCCTTTGTTTTACATTTTCTGGGATCTTTATAACTTAAAGACTATACCATTACAGGAAATTTGAAAGAGGTGAGAAAAATTATCCATCGTATTTCTACCCTAACAACTGTTGTTTTTGTATATTTCCTTTCGTGTATCACCATATGCAATAAGCTTCATGAATGCATGGATTTTGTCTCAATAACCAGAAAAGTGCATTTCACATAGTATATATTCATTCAGTGTTTAATAAATGAGTGATATCACATACATTTTTACTTTTTTATGTTCTAATATATGTACAGTTTTGCATTATGCTTTTCTATTAACACTGTGGCTGCATGTTACTAGAGTCTTTAAATTTATTGAATAATTGCATAATATTTGATTTAGCAGGTAGAATTTACTTAACCTCCTCTTACTCCCTTGGTATTTGAAATTGTTTTCTATTTAGTTTTGATTGTTTGTATGTGTGTTTGTTGAAATTTATATTGTGATAGTGGATTATTTCCTTAGGATAGATTCCAGAAGTGAGATTAATGTGTCAAATATTATGGACATTTTCATGGCTTTTAGGAAATGCCGGATTGTTTTCCAAAATCTTTTTTAAAAATTTCTGAAAATCTTAAATGAATTTACTCTGCTGTTAGCAATATATATGAATGTATGTTTAACTATAGCCTCTTAGCTTTTATAAGTGAAAAATAGTACCCCATTGTTTAGTTTGATTTCCTTGGTTGACAGGAAGTTGAATATTTTCCCACATTTACTAATTGTGATTTTACTTTTCGAATCATCTTTTACTTGTTTTGACTACTGAGTTTGGTTTTACTTCTAAAATTTAACTTTTTAATCTTCTCAGCTACAAAGCCAATTTAAATGGCATGATCATTAGTGAAGATACTGTTTATAAAGTTACCAAAGGCCCAATATTCTCAATGGCTCTCCACCCATCAGAAATTAGAACTTTGGTGGCAGCTGGGGCCAGATCTGGACAAGTTGGGCTTTGGGATTTGGTAAGTTATTATTAATTGTTTTGAAGATATTAACATTTGAAGCAAATAGTCTGCGAAAGAATAGCCTAGAGCCATGTGTTTCTAGATGTTACTTGAGATTTATAGTTTTGTGCTTTGTGATTCCAAATTTTAGAAACCTAGAGGAATTTAAATTTGCTTTGTAGAACTTTAACATTTTTAGCTTGAATATCTTTAGTCATCTGGGCATAAATTCCTGCCAGGAAAGTTTATTACAACTTTAAATGTGTATATGAAAAGATCATACAAAGTTCTTAGGTTTCTAATTATGTTTAAAATATAGTTTCCAAGCTGGATCAAAATATCTTCCCAAGGATCTTCTTAGGATGATCCTAATAATTTTTTTTTTAATTAATTTAGTTTTTGTCTATTTATTTTTGGCTGCATTGGGTCTTCATTGCTGCATGTGGGCTTTCTCTAGTTGCAGCGAGCGGGGGCTACTCTTCATTGCGGTGCGCGGGCTTCTCATGGTGGTGGCTTCTCTTGTTGCAGAGCATGGGCTCTAGGCACGCAGGCTCAGTAGTTGTGGCACATGGGCTCAGTAGTTGTGGCTCACGGGCTCTAGAGCGCAGGCTCAGTAGTTGTGGCGCATGGGCTTAGTTGCTCTGCGGCATGTGGGATCTTCCCGGACCAGGGCTCGAACCTGTGTCCCCTGCATTGGCAGGTGGATTCTTAACCACTGCACCACCAGGGAAGCCCCCTAGTCATTTTTTGATGAGTTAGAAACAGATATTGAATTTCATTCATTGTACATATAATAATGCATTGATTGCTTTCAGTGTTTACTGAATTGAAAAAAGCCGAGTTAATGTTCTCTGAACTTAGTTTTTAATTGGGGAAGTAGAACAAAGACCTGAAAAATGCCATAAGGACAATTAATAGAGATGGAGAAATCATGGTGACTTGCAGTGGTTTGGGGTTAATAAATAAAATGGATTTTGTAAGTGAGAAGAGAAGAAATGAAAACCAAATTCTCTCTTATTTTGGGAGCATAGGTTCTCCCTTATTTTGATAAAATGTGAGTGGGGTAGGAGGTGAAAGGATTTGGTAAAGAAAACAGAAGCAGAGAAGTGGGAAGAGGACCAGAAATGGTATAAGGTTGTATAAGCTAAGAGATGAATTTCAAGCATCGGAGTTTGACAGGGCTTTTTTTTTTAGATGAGTTACAAAGAATGGGAACAGAAAAAGGGCCATTAGTTTTGAAAATAAGGTATCATAAGTGAGCTGAGAGAATAGCTTCAACAATAAGGTAAGAAAGGAACACAGACTTTAGGAGATTAAAAAAAGTATGGGGTGGAAGAAGAAATGGAAGCAATGGATAGACTATTTGTTGAAGAACTTAGAAAAGGAAAAATAGAGAATTAGCATAGTCAAGTGAAGATCTTTTCAGGGTGTGTTGAAGATATGTAGGAAAGTCCCTTTGTCATGTCTTTTCTGGTGACTCCAAAAATCTGTATTATTGGGTGTCTGTAGTCCAATATTTTTATCAACTTTCTAATTTTTCAGGACACCTGGCTATCTCATTAACAGACTGAGCGAGTCTAAAACCATTATCTTGGCTATCCTGTGCTCACTCCGAAACTCCCCTCGTTTTTTTAAAAAAAGTTTAGCGTTATTGAGGTATAATTAACATTTTATAAAATCTACACATTTAAAATGTACAGTTTAATGATTTTTAATAAGTTTATTGAGTTGTGTAAATATCACCATAATTCAGTTTTAGAACATTTTCATCATTCCTATAAGATTCCTCGTGGCTACTTACATTTAATCCCTGTTTCTACTCTTATCCCCAGGCAAATCTCCACAAATTTGCACTTTTTGGACATTTCATATAAATAGAATCATAAAATATGTGGTCTTTTATATTGGCATTTTTCTTTTAGCATAGTTTTTTTTAAACTAATTAATTTATTTATTTTGGCTGCATTGGGTCTTAGTTGAAGCATGTGGGGTCTTTGTTGAGGCATGCGGGATCTTTTGTTGAGGCGTGCAGGATCTTTCATTGAGGCGTGGGCTTTTTGTTGTGGCGCGCAGGCTTCTCTCTAGTTGTGGCATGTGGGTTTTTCTCTAGTTGTGGTGTGCAGGCTCCAGGGCTCGTGGGCTCTGTAGTTGTGGCACGTGGACTTAGTTGCCCCACAGCATGTGGGATCTTAGTTCCCCAACCAGAGATTGAACCTGTGTCCCCTGCATTGGGAGGTGGATTCTTTGCCACCGGACCACCAGGGAAGTCCCTCTTTTAGCATAGTTTTAAGGTTTATCTGTTTTATAGCCTCTATCAGCACCTCATTCTTTTTTTATTGCTGAATAGTATTCCATTGTTTGATTTTACCACATTTTGTTTATCCATTCATCATTTGACAGACATTTGGGTTGTTTCCACTTTTTGGCTATTCTGAATAATTCTACTATGAACATTTGTGTACACATTTTTGTGTAGGTCTGTGTTTTCATTTCTCTTGGGTAGGTATCTGGGAGTAGAATTGCTAGGTCATATGGTAACTGGTTAACATTTGAGGAACTGTCAGCCTGCTTTCCAAAGTGGCTGCATCATTTTCTATTCCTACCAGCAATGTATGAGGGTTCAAATTTTTTTACATGCTCACCAACATTTATTATTATCTGTCTTTTCGATTATAGCCTTTCAAGTGGGTGGTATCTTCCTAGTGAAGTTGTATCTCCATGTGGTTTTGATTTGCATTTCTCTAATGACTAATGATGTTGAGAATCTTTTCCTGCCATTTGGATATCTTTGGCGAAATGTCTATTCAAATCTTTTGTCAATTTTTTATTGGGTTGTTTGTCTTCTTGTTGAGTTGTAAGAGTTCTTTGTATATTCTAGATACACATCCTTATCAGATATGTGATTTGCAAATATTTCTTCTTTTCATCTTCTTAATGCTATCTTTTGAAGTGCAAATTTTTGAATTTTGGTGATGTCCGATTCATCAAACTTTTAATGGACTGTGTTTTTGGTGTCATATCTAAGAAATCTTTTGTGTAACCCAAAGTCTTAAAGATTTTCTCCTGTGTTTTTTTGTAAAAATTTTATAGTTTCAGCTTTCACATTTAGTTCACTGATCCATCTTGAATTGTTCTTTTTGAATTATTTTTGTATATGCTGTAAGGTAAGGGCCCAAGTTCATCTTTTTGTATGTGTATATCCAGTTGTCCCAGCACTATTTGTTGAAAAGACTTTTACCTCATTGTATTGTCTTGGCAGTCCCTCAGTTTTCCTCTTAACCTTCTGTCAGATTCCTAGTCTCACCTAAGGATCAAAAGATGAGCTGTCATTTATTCGGTCACCCCACCCATTCATTCATTCCACACTTATTAAGTATTTTGTGCTAAGTACTCTTTTTTTTAATAAATTTATTTCTATATTTATTTTTTGGCTGTGTTAGGTCTTTATTTTTTGGCTGTATCAGGTCAAGCCTGCGTGTGGGCTTTCTCTAGTTGCGGCGAGCAGGGGCTACTATTTGTTGCGGTGCGCAGGCTTCTCATTGCGGTGGCTTCTCTTGTGGAGTACGGGCTCTAGGTGTGTAGTCTTCAGTAGTTGTGGCACGCAGGCTCAGTAGTTGTGGCTCACAGGCTCTAGAGCACAGGCTCAGTAGTTGTGGTGCATGGGCTTAGTTGCTCCGCGGCATGTGGGATCTTCCCGGACCAGGGCTCAAACCTGTGTCCCCTGCATTGGCAGGCAGATTCTTAACCACTGAGCCACCAGGGAAGTCCCCTAAGTACTATTCTAATGACTCCCCATCCATATTTGTGAGGAAGGATTTTCTCTGTCCTTATGGAGTTTAGAATTTAGTGGCAAAAGCAGCATGAATGAAATAATTACGTGTTTGATAAGTGGAGTGAATTATATACTATGATTAATGGAGTGGAGGAAAAGTAGTGTTATAAAAACACATAACAGGGGAACTGGGCTGATTTTGAGGATCAGGGAAGGCTTCCCTGAGGAAGTGAGAATTGAGTTGAGATTTGAAAGCTAAGTAGGAGTAAGCCAAGCAAAGAAAGGGAAAAGAGCATTTCACACAAGAGGAACAGCATGTCAAGGACCTTAGGCAGGAGGATGCCGGCTTGATACATTTAAGGACCTGAAGAATGCCTCTGAAAGAATGCCTCTGTGGCTAGAGCATAAACAGCAGAGGCATAAACGGAAGGGATGAGTGGAATAGGGGGAAGCTGTACAGGTGGGTAGAGGTCAGATGTATAGCTTTATACATAAAGCCTCTGTAACAACTTCCTACAAAACAAACATTGAATACTATTTTCATTTTTCACCTTTTCTCACAAAAGCAAAAATCTTCTTTGGATTCCCTTCAGTTAGCAAAAATAGGTACTAATATAGGTGTTTTGTAAGAGCAAAGTGGCATAAAGTGAACTTTTGAAAAGTGGGGGATACATGTATTTATTTTTAAATTAATTAAAACAGAAAATTCAGTTCTTCAGTTACACCAGGCACATTTCAAGTGCTTAATAGCCACACATGACTAGTGGATACCATATTGGACAGTGCATACATAAAACATTTTTGTCATCTCAGAAAATTCTTTTGGACAGTGCTGCTGTGGAGCAAGCTAATATCAACATTAATTTGGTAAAATAAGACTCAAAGATAAGGTGATAAAACAACAGAATGAAATGAAAAAGGAGACTGTAGAACTAAGGAAACAAATTGAAGATCAGTGAAACTAATAAATTAGACAAAAGGAACAGAATAGACATGGCTGAAAATGAAATTATAGATATTAAAGGAAATATCTGAGGTAATCTCAAACACAGATGAAAAAAGTTTTATGAGAAAAGCCAATAGAAAAGGAAAGCCAGGACTTCCCTGGTGGCGCAGTGGTTAAGAATCTGCCTGCCAATTCAGTGGACACGGGTTCAATCCCTGGTCCAGGAAGATCCCACATGCCGTGGAGCAATGAAGCCCGTGTGCCACAACTACTGAGCCTGCACTCTAGAGCCCATGAGCCACAACTACTGAAGCCTGTGTGCCACAACTACTGAAGCCCATGTTCCTAGAGCCTGTGCTCCACAACAAGAGAAGCCACTGCAATGAGAAGCCCACGCACCACAACGAAGAGTAGCCCCCACTTGCCATGACTAGAGAAAGCCCGTGTGCAGTAGCAAGACCCAAGGCAGCCAAAGATAGATAGATAGATAAATAAATAAATTCATTTAAAAAAAAAAAAGGAAAGGAAAGCCAGTCAAAGATGACCCAACAAATGTAACAGAAAATATATTCAAAGAGAACTTTTCTGAAAAGACAGAATTGGATTGACAGATTTGAGTGTGTATGCCATGTTCTAGGAAGATTTGGACTTAAATGATAAAGAATTCTTTAGGCAGGAAAAACAAATTATATTCAAGGGGAAAAGCCAGGTTTGCCTCAGTTTTCTACAGCAACATTTCATGTAATGTCTACAAAGTTCTGAGAGAAGGAAGTGTGGCCTGGAATACAGACCCAGCCCAAGATATTATTCTAATGTAAAGACAGCAGGTAGGTCTTTTCACATCTGAAAAAACTCAAGAAATTGAAGACCTGTGAGTTCATCTGGAAAAAACTGCTTGATAGCAAATCTTGGCCCGTTGAAAGTAAATCAAAATTAAGGATTCAGGAATGGAGAAGCTTGACAGAAAAATTGATGATGAGTATTGAATCCATTTAAATACAGAACTGGGACTTCCCTGGTCCAGTGGTAAAGAATCTGCCTTCCAATGCAGGGGACGTGGGTTCGATCCCTGGTTGGGGAGCTAAGATCCCACATGCTGTGGGGCAACTAAGCCCGCGGGCCTCAACTAGAGAGCCTGCGTGCCGCAAACTACAGAGCCCACGCACCACAACTAGAGAGAGAGAACCCGCACGCCACAACCAGAGAGAAACCCGCGTGCCACAATGAAGAGCCTGTGTGCTGCAATGAAAGATCCCACTTGCTGCAATCAAGATCCCATGTGCCACAACTATGACCTGACGCAGCCAAAAATAAATGAAATAAATAAATAAATATTTAAATACAGAACTAATATTAAACAGCCATATGAATTATGGTTACAGAACTGGATATGAATGTTGTTAACCTGGAAAAAACAAAATATAGAGATGGAGAAAGGGGAGATTGGAGGAGGAGTGAGAATAATGTTCTCAGTCAATAGAAATTGTCTAAAATTGAGACATACATAGTTAAATAAAAAAGCGTAATGACTAAAACTGCTTTATATTTTCTACTTTTTCCTTCTTAGGAGATAGCTCTTGTAAAGAAATACTCGAAGTTCAAAAATTCCTTCAGCTTGATTTTCTTTTATTATTTTAAAGTATAGTTAAAATTTTTTTATATTTATTTATGGCTGCATTAGGTCTTCATTGGTGTGCGTGGGCTTTCTCTAGTTGTGGTGAGCGGGGGCTACTCTTCATTGTGGTGCGTGGGCTTCTTATTGTGGTTGCTTCACTTGTTGCAGAGCGTGGGCTCTAGGCATGTGGGCTTCAGTAGTTGTCGCACACGGGCTCAGTAGTTGTGGCTTGAGGGCTCTAGAGTGCAGGCTCAGTAGTTCTGGCACATGGGCTTAGTTGCTCCACAGCATGTGGGATCTTCCTGGACCAGGGCTTGAATCCGTGTCCCCTGCATTGGCAAGTGGATTCTTAACCACTGCACCACCAGGGAAGCCCCTAAAGTATAGTTAAATTTAATACTACTTAAAGTGGCCTTTTTTTTTTCTCTAAATTTCTTCTCTGTCCTTCTATCTGTATAAGTAAGTACTTGTAAAGACATCTTTAATGATCACTTAGTATTTTAATGATAATTTTGGTCAATTTTGGGTTTTCAATGGTTTTTCAAAACTTTTGTCTTTGTATATTTCTCTGTATATTTGTTTGAGTTCCTTATAACAATGGAGAGTTTTGTTTTTCTAAAAAATATATGCTATAGACAAATATGCCAAAATGTTAACAGTGGTTAACTCTGGGTAGGAGGAGGAGTTTGTGTGATTGTAATTTTTTTCCTTCCTTCTCTTTTCATGTTTCTTTATTTTCTTTAAATTTTTTTCTCTTTATTTAAAAACTAAAATAAAAAAGACGAAAACAAAAGTGTTTGAGTATTTCAGAGCCGACTAAGCTAGATTTAGAGATGAAAGTTTTTCTGGTTCATAATATGACATACCGCATAAGAATATAACATCAAAATCCAAAAAATGATGATTTCGGAGTTGTTAATCCAGTTGTGGAAACGATAATCCTTAGAAGTAGTAATATCACTACTGAAATTCAAGTACATGTATTTTTAAAAATAAATTTATTTATTTATTTATTTTTGGCTGTTATTTATTTATTTATATTTGGTTGGGTCTTCGTTGCTGTGCATGGGCTTCTCGTTGCGGTGGCTTCTCTTGTGTAGTACGGGCTCTAAGCTCGTGGACTTCAGTAGTTGTGGCATGTGGGCTTACTAGTTGTGCCTCGCAGGCTCAGTAGTTGTGGTTTGCAGGCTCTAGAGCGCAGGCTCAGTAGTTGTGGCACATGAGCTTAGTTTCTCTGCGGCATGTGGAATCTTCTCAGACCAGGGCTGAAACCCATGTGCCCTGCATTGGCAGGTAGATTCTTTTTTTTTTTTTTTTTTTTAACATCTTTATTGGGGTATAATTGCTTTACAATGGTGTGTTAGTTTCTGCTTTATAACAAAGTGAATCAGTCATACGGCAGGTAGATTCTTAACCACTGTGCCACCAGGGAAGTCCCTCAAGCACATGCATTTTTCATGGGCCATTTAGGGGTTAAAATATTTTTAAAACTATCATTTTGTGCCAGGACCAAACACCTTATGAAAATTGAGCTGAGAATGACATACTCGTATAGAAGCACACTTAGCAAGCAAAGTGGGAGTGGTATTGATGGAAGTTTTGGTAGTAAGGAATTATCCTGCATGTGAAATAAAAGTAAATTTCACATTTCCTGAGAATTTTATGAACTGAAGTCATTATAAGCAGTAATTTTTTTCCCTCTGTATTATGAAAAACTAGTTGGCTAGTTGCAAAAAGCTGGAAACTATTAAAATAAATGTGACTTAATTTTGTTGGATTGAAAATTAGGAAAAAGTAACTTAGTGAGAGTCTAAAGTTTCTAGTTCTGACTTTCTGAGTGGGAAGGTGAGTACAATTATAGACTAAGACTGAATATAATACAAGCAAATAGTTTAATGACATAATGATGTAGAAAATATTACTGCTTTTCACCAGTTTTTGTCTCTCTCCCCACCCCCCAACTCTGTTCCAGACTCACCAACCTAAAGAAGATGGAGTTTATATTTTTCAACCCCATAGTCAACCAGTTAGCTGTCTTTACTTCTCGCCTGCCAATCCAGCTCACCTGCTGTCACTGAGCTATGATGGCACATTACGCTGTGGGGATTTTTCCAGAGCTGTTTTTGAGGAGGTAAATGTTAATATGTTTGCATATGGACCTCAGGTGATATTCTGGATTCCTTATGAAATGCCACATGAATGATTATATTATACCATCAAACTGGGTGAGATGGTGTAGAATAGGGACTTTAGAACTACACTGCCTAAATTCAAATCCCATCTGTTACTATTTGTGTGAACTCGGTAAGTTGCATAACCTCTTTGTGCTTCAATTTCCTTAGTTTTGAAATGGAATGGTAATAGTATCTACCTTATAGGATTGTCATGAGGATTAAATGAGTTAATGTAGATAAAGCATTTACTTAAAACAGAGCCTGGTACATAGTAAGTTTTTGCTCTTATTTTTTATTTTTGCAGAAAGCTTTTAAATAAAATAACTTATTCTTCTATTTTAAGGCTTAAAACTTGTCCTCTTTTATTCAGGAAAAAATATTGGAATATTATTATACTTTTGTTCATTATTTCTAGCCTTGGCAGATATGAATTTTGTGGGGATGAGTCTTAGTCTTTGTGGGGATGACAAAAAAGACTAGAGAAATTCATCATATAACAGTACTATAATACATTGTCCAAAACTTTTGGCCAGTAATATAACACAGAAACTATAAAATTTGGTTTTTTGTCTTCTAGCTAAGATTTATCATCTCTTATATGCCATGTATAGCTGATGGTAGAGAGATTAGCTCAGCTGTTTTTATCTGGTGAAGTTAGAATGAAAAACTGCCATTCGATGTCATATAATTGTACTCTGGCAAGAAATGGACACCTAAGCGGGTTCATTCAGAACATCTTAGGCCAGGTTTATTCATAGCCACCTATTGAGGATAAGGTCTTTTCCTGGGCTAGTCTAACCCCTGCAAGGTAAGATGAAGTTGAAGTTTAAGAATAGTTGAAAGATGTTGGTCTCATACTCGTGACCGTCCATCCTCCCAGAGATAGCCTACCAAGTTAACCAGACTACTTACCCCTTGGAGGTTTTCAAATTGGTTTGATCTCTGGTTGGGTAGGCCAGAAGCTTCCAAAGGCCTGAGGAATCCTCACAATATTGGATCCCAGTGATTACATTTTGGTTTACTACTTAAATATCTACTACTTAATGTTACAACAAACATATTTCAAGTGAGCTTTCAGATTTGCTTAACCATATCAGATTTCCTCATTAAGAGAATTCCTACAAATCAAACTCTTTTTTTATATGGATTTTAATCTTTGTGAAATTTAGGGTGGTTTAGATGTAGGTTTTCATTCTTTAGCTTATTTCGAATGGGACTTTTAAAGTTTTTAGAGGTCCTCAGTATAAGAGCATTTTATATGTGATAGACAATGAAGAAAACAGGGTATCATCACTGATTATGGCTTATCATCATAAATACTAATTGATGATCTAATTTTATGCCTTAATTTTTTTATGTAAGCCAGTATTCAAAGTGAACGCATTCTGTCTTTGTAATTATTTTAATATTCTATGTATAGATGATTCATAATTACTTATAAAAGAGTTTTTAACTAATTATTTTAATAGCTATAGTATAATACGTAACTGCTTTTGTTCTTCACTGAACTCCTAAAATGATCTTTCTTACAGTTGGGAAGGCTTTTTCTCTCTTCTTGAGAGCTAATAGTTTTTGAGTTTTCTTTTAAAAATGAGGATGTTTAATTTCTTTTAAGTCTGTTTTTAACCATATGAAAAAAAGACTTTTCAAGACTGTTAATGTGTTGCTGGTCAGACTTGATTTCCTAATTACTGACAATTAGAAGAAACAGTTTCTTTTTTTACTGGTGTCTTTGCTTTTTTTTTCTTTTAATTTCTATTTTTACCTTTTAAAAATTGGTTTTTAAGAGCAACATTGATATTTAAAATCCTTACTGGAAATGGATGGGCTGTTAATCATGGATTAAATGAAATAATTTTTGTGAAAAGTCCTCTTTAAACTGTTTAATGGTAGCACTTTGGTTATTAATGCATACCATATAGTTATGTATGCAAGTCACATTCTGTTTTGTATTTGTTTATATTCTTACAGGAAGGTTTGAGTTTGAAATTTGAAGGTACATCTATGTTTTATCAGCCACTTAATAGTAACTGATTGTACTTATTTATTTATTTATTTTTTTGCGGTAAGCGGGCCTCTCACTGTTGTGGCCTCTCCCGTTGCGGAGCACAGGCTCCGGACGTGCAGGCTCAGCGGCCATGGCTCACGGGCCCAGCTGCTCCGCGGCATGTGGGATCTTCCCAGACTGGAGCACGAACCCGTGTCCGCTGCATCGGCAGGCGGACTCTCAACCACTGCACCACCAGGGAAGCCCTGTACTTATTTTTTAATACAACTTTGTTGAGATATATAATTCACATACCATTCAATTCACCCATTTAAAGTGTAAAATCCAGTGGTTTTTAGTGTATTTATAGGGTTGTGAAACTGTTACCACAATCTAATTTTAGAATACTTATCACCTCCAAAAGAAACCCCTTGCTTATCAAGTACTCCCGATTTCCCCTTTCGCCTTAGAAAACCACTAATCTACTTTCTGTCTCTACATATTTCCCTGTTCTGGACATTTCATATAAAAGGAATCATACAGTTTATAGTCTTTTGTGACTGGCTTCTATACTTATCGAAATGTTTTCAAGGTTCATGCATGTTGTAGAATGTGTCAGTACTTCATTCTTTAGTGGCTGAATAGTATTCCCTTGTGTGGCTGTACCACATTTTACACATCCATTGATTAGTTGATGAACAATTGTGTTGTTTCCATTTTTAACTATTACGAATAATGCCATTATGAACATTCATACACAAGTTTTGTGTGCTTTCATTTCTCTTGGGTATACACCTAGGAGTGTAATTGCTGGGTCATATGGTAACTCTATGTTTAACATTCTGATGAACTGCCAAGCGGTTTCCCAAACTGGCTTCACTGTTGTACATACTCATCAGCAGTATGTGAGGGTTCCCATTTCTCCACATCTTTTCCAACGCTTGTTGTTGGTGGTGAGTATAGCCAACCTTGTGGGTATGAAGTGGTATCTCATTGTGGTTTTGACTTGCGTTTCCCTAATGATTAATGATGCTGAGCATGTTCATCTGCTTATTGGCCATTTGTAATTATTTAGAGAAATTTGGATCTTTTGCCTACTTTTTAATTGGGTTATCTGTGTTTTCAGTATTGAGTTGTAAGAGTTATCCACTTATTTATTTTTTTAAAAGTCAGGTTTATTGAGGTATACAGTACATATTGTAAAATGTACCTTTGTTAGGTGTGCAGTTTTATAAGTTTTGGCAAATTGTATATACCTGTTTAACCACCACTGCAATCAAGACATAAAAAATTTCCATCACCTGGAAAAATTACCTCATGACCCTTTGTAGTCAGTCCTCTCCCCGTTCTTGAAGCCCCTGGCAACCACTGATGTGATTACTGTCCCTATAATTTTGCCTGTTCTAGAATGTCAAGTAAATGGAATCAAATGGTGTGTAGCTTTTTGTGTCTGGCTTTATTTACCTAGCATAATGTTTTTAAGATTCATCCATGATATTGCATGTATCAGTAATTTGCTTCTGATACTACTGATTGAACAATTACCTTGTGTTAGGTACTAACCTGAGTGTGCTTTATGTATATTATTAAGCCTAATAACACCCTATGAAATAGGTAACGTTCTCCCCATTTAACAGTTGAAAAAACTGAGGTAAAGAGGTTTATTAGCTTGCTGAAGGACATAAAAGGCAGAACTAGAATTTGCACTTGAGTCTCTCTGACTCCAGATCCCCTGCACTTAACCATTTTAATATAATGACTGAATACTTCAAGTTTCATTTGTGTATATTGGGCTTTTTTTGGTATAGGGGTTGGGATACCTTTGGTGTATTTATTTGTTAATCTCAGTTTATAGTAATATTGTTATTAAAACTAAAAGTCAGTAGCAATTCATGATTAAGTGATAAGAATTGTGGTAATTCTCTCTTACTTGAGTACTGACACATTCTACAACATTTATTTTTTATTCCTTATATGTGTGAGCCCTGAGCCCAAAGTAACAACACTGTGGATTGTAAGTGATTAAAAAGTTATAACAATAATACATGCTCATGATAAAATATTTACAGTAGGGGACTTCTTTGGTGGTCCAGTGATTAAGAATCCACCTTCCAATGCAGGGGACACGGGTTTGATCCCTGGTCGGGCAACTAAGATCCCACACGCCGCAGGGCAACTAAACCTGCACGCCGCAACTAGAGAGAAGCCCGCAACAAAGACCCAGTGCAACCAAAAAACCCCCACAAACTTACAGTAAACGGGGTGTGCAAACTAAATTTGCCCTTTCCCCATTCCCACTCTCCCAAAGTAACCTTTGTATTTTTTGTGTATGCCTCCAGAAAGTACACATATACTTACAAGCATATAGATACAGATTTTTTTCTTTGCGCTAATGTGTTCACACTATATACATAGTTTTTTGCAACTTGCTTTTTTAATTTACTAGTATATCTTGGACAGTTAATAGCACAAATCTACCTCATTCTTTTTTAGCATTGCATAGTATTTCAAAGTAGAGATGTACCATCATGATTTAACCAGATCTTTTCTGGTGGACGTTTAGGTTGCTTTTTATTGCTGTTATAAGCAGTCTGGCAGCAAGCATCCTTATATATATCTTAGTGAAATTACTGGGTCAAAGGGTATGTATAAGCATTAAATATTTTGATAGATGTGTCCTGATTGCTGTAAAAATTTTGTATCTATTTACACTTCCACCAAGAGTAGGTGAGCATTCAAGCCATATACCTTGGACTTAGTTGGCAAAGTTACTTGGTATATTAAGGTATTTCAACTGGGTAAGATTCAGATTCAGTCCATTTCCTAGCAAGTTTCACAGGGTAGATCTGCATCTGAGGTTTATTGGATTTAAGAGATTTGGGATGTAGCCCTGACATGGGTGGATGGGCTGTTTGATTGCAGTCTCACAGCTGATCAGTGCCTTAGTTTCCATCTAAGGGGATTACCATTTTGCCCTATGCTTCTTGTGGGGATCATGGGAAGATAAATGAGGTTATTTGGGTTAAGTGTTTTGTTACTCTTTTAACAAAGAATTTATGCATTGGCTTTCTTTAAAAGAAGAGTGTTACATAAGTTGATTGTTACTTATATCCTTAGGTATATAGAGATGAAAGAAGTAGCTTTTCCTCCTTTGACTTCTTGGCAGAAGACGCCTCCACTTTAATAGTAGGTCACTGGGATGGAAGTATGTCACTAGTGGATAGGCGGACGCCTGGAACTTCTTGTGAGAAACTTATCAATTCTTCTTTGAGCAAAATAAGAACTGTACATGTCCACCCAGTGCATAGACAGTATTTTATCACTGCGGGATTAAGGTATGTCCTTCATGAAATTTTATGATTTAGGCCTTTTAATGTTAGGAGTAATGTTTTAGTTTGGTGGTCAGAGACTTCTGACTTTTTTTGTAATACCCACAGACCAAATAATTTTCCTTTCTACACTGATTGAGCATTTTTGTTTTTTTTTAACGTGATTATTTTTAAAATGAGAGATTCTTTTGGATTTAATAAATAGCGCAAGTGTTGAAAAAATATACATTTTTGTTTTCCTTGGCCTCATGCGTTTACTTCTAGTCTTTTGAGAAGAACGTACGTAAAAAATATAAAAGTTCCATGTGACCTATAACTTCTTGGTCTGTGTTAACTTTTTTCATGGATAGATTAGAAAACCAGCTAGAATCTTGTCTCTCTGTACCCACCTGGTTACATATATATGCTATAATTTTGAAATTTTTCTCATTTCTTACTCTATACCAGTGTTTTTAAAATTAATATAGAAGATTAGAGGGTTCTGTCTTAACTGTTCTTCAATGTAGTGAGTATTTGAGTGTCTAATTTATGTTCAGTGCTATTGTAGAGTCTTACTATGTGTACTGTGACAACACTGAGAATTATTCCTCCTGTTACAGGGATATTCATATTTATGATGCAAGGTGCCTGAATCGCAGTAGAATCAAGCCTTTGATTTCTTTGACTGAACACACAAAGAGCATCGCTTCTGCCTATTTTTCACCTCTTACTGGTAACAGAGTAGTAACCACATGTGCTGATTGTAAGCTGAGGTAAATTGGGAAGACAGAAATACTTGTTAAGGAATCTAGAGTCTGTAGTTACTGTGTTAAACAGTAGCTTTGTTGACTATTGCTCCTTATTAAATCACTAGTGTTATTGTTTCATAGTCATGTCTAGGTTCCCAAAGATCAATGACCTGTACTTAATGGCTTTTCAGCAGTTTTGGGATCTGTAGATTTCCTTGAGATTGGCAGGGAAGGTCTGTAGCTACCCTGGAGAGTGATGTCAGTCTTTGCTTTTAGCACTGAAATCAGATGAAATCAGGCTTGTGATATCTTGGAGGGGAGATAATTTTAGCAAAGGGAGAAGCTCTTACTTTGGAGATAGTGGGGTCTACCCCACAAGTGAAGTGCTGAATCAAAGTTGCAGAGCCCCAGGCCATGGGCAGGCAGAAAAGGTAGCAAAAATTGGGCTTTTATACAAACTACTGGATAAAATTTTATGGTTTTAGCTTTGATACCTTTCTATAGCTACTTCCTAAAAATGGATTTTAAAATGTAATATAAACCAATTGAACAAAAATAGAAAATAATGCCAATTAAAAAAGATGTGGAGAATGTTAATGCAATCACAAAGGAAATGATTTTGTTCTCTTCTAAAATCCCTGATTTTGCTTAACATTGCAAGCAATTCCCTGTTTATGAGAGTTTTACCTTAAGTGATTTTGGAATTTGTTCATTATTCATTCAACAAGTATCTGTTAAATGTATGCTGTGGGCCAGGCTCTAGAAAGGCACCTAATTTCTGTTTAGACCCATCTATTGGGAAGAACATGGTTTATAGTGTGCGACAGGTACCCAGTTAATTTCTAGTAAAGTGTGTAAGTATTACCAGGTAATACATTAAGAGATTTAGTCACCAGACAATGGCAGCTCAGTGTCCCCTTTCCACCCATGTAGTTTTCTTTGTCTTAAGGGCTACTTATACTTATTTGTCCCATTCCTGTTCATTTGCACTGTAGAATTTACTCTTGTTACATTAACCATTAGTGATTTGGCTTTGTAGTAATCTAATTAGTTAATAAGCTCTAGTGCCAAGAAATTTCAGTGGAATAGCTAGGCATAAGGAGAAGGGGGAGGTGGTGATGATTCGGTTAGTTTCTGTCTGCCAGGGTACCTAGTGGAGGCTTCTGGATACCTCCAGTTGCCCCACAAGAACTCCTCCCCTTGGTCACTGGACAGTCTTAGTCTCGCCAGAATCTGGAAGTGACACTATCACGCCCTCAACTGATGAGTCTCCCTTGATACATGCATACACTTTTAGGTTATTTTTGCATTTTCAGACTACATCCCTTATGTATGACTTATATTACTGTGAATCTGAATATAGAGTCTAGATTGTCACTTTAGAATGTACATTTAAGTTTGGAGTAATAATGTCTAAATAAGTAATTTCCACACTAAACTATAAGCACTGAATTTTATAATATTCTTTGTAACTTTTGTAAATATATTAGCTGAGATTTGTTAGAGCCTGATCCTATATATTTTAAGATAACAGTCATATTTCATATCATGAACCAGTGAAAACCTTGTTAAATATACTGATAATATTTCAGAAAATTATTAAGAAACAATAAAGAGTGTGCTCCTTTATTCTTGCTCTTTATTTTGTAGAATCTTTGACAGCAGCTGTATATCCTCGAAGATTCCTCTTCTCACCACCATCAGGTAGGTTTCCATGTGCCAAATAAAGTAGACCCTGGATTACTATGAGGTCTTTGTTGGAGTGCATACATTGGACATCTGATTGTCAAGGAGATGTAATAGGTCTGATTTTGTATTACATTGTTCCAGTGTTCCAGGTTGCTAGTTCCTATCCTATACAGAAGGGTTCTTGCTTCCAGGTTTCCTGTTTCTGTAAAGAGGTTCAATCTCTTTTAGTCAGTAGCTGTTCTCTGCCTCTGGGTGGTTATTTTTGGTTAAGGTGAGTGACTTTATTCCAACCTGAATTACTCATGTTACCCTATTGAGACTTACTTGCTGGTGAGGCTAGCTGAAGCTCTGTTTATTTGCACCTGTTTGTTCTGGGCTTGGAGGGCCTCTCCACCTTCCCACTTACTTTGTTTGGTTACCCTTTTTTTGCATCTGCTACTTTTAATGTATGTATTTTACATCAAACTTTATGCAATGCCTTCTTCCTAGACATACCTCTTTATTAGTATTTATGAAGTTGGGGACAGGGTGTGCAATGTATGTTGATTGTTGCTTCATGAGTTTTATACTCTATAGAGGCTATATTTAAGCATGTTTGTTTTCTTTTTCACAGAATTTCCCTCTTCATTTCCTTTTCAAACTTTATTAATTCTAGTTTATTGGTTTCTAATGCATATTTAAAAAAAATTATCTAGTGTGATGATTCACAGGTCAGTAGAGATAGGGTCATTGAGTGGCAGAGGGAAATGTGGTTCTCCATTGTTCATACTTCTTTAGTTAGAAAGGGTTGCTAATGGTGTTACAATATAAAGAATAAAAAGGCAGTGCTTTGCTTTTTGCTTTGGAGAGCAGTAAAGAGCCCCAAATATATTAAAAAAAATTTTTTTACTTTATTTTTAGTTGTGGTTATAAACGCATAAATTAACCATCATAACTATTTATATGTATACAGTGCAATAGTGTTAGGTATATTCACGTTGTTGTGCAGCAGACTTCTAGAATTTTTTTATCTTGCAAAACTGAAACTGCCCATTAAACATTAATTCCTCTTTCCCCCTTTTCCCAGACCTTGGCAACCATCTTTCTACTTTCCATTTCTATGATTTTGACTATTATAGATACTTCATATGAGTGAAATCATACAGTATTTGTCATTTTGTGACTGGTTCATTTCACTTAGCATAATGTCCTCGATGTTCATCCGTATTCTAGCATGTGACAAGATCTCCTCCTGTTTAATTTAATTTTTTAAAATTAATTTATTTTTTCCCATATTTGCCCCTAGGTTCTTCATGACCATTTCTTTTTTTCCCTTATATTCCATATATATGTGTTAGCATACGGTATTTGTTTTTCTTTTTCTGACTTACTTTACTCTGTAGGACAGACTCTAGGTATGGGAATAAATACGCAGACCTACTAGAGAATGAACTTGAGGATATGGGGAGGGGGAAGGGTAAGCTATGACAAAGTGAGAGAGTGGCATGGACATATACACACTACCAAACGTAAAACTGATAGCTAGTGGGAAGCAGCCACATAGCACAGGGAGATCAGCTCGGTGCTTTGTGACCACCTAGAGGGTTGGGATAGGGAGGGTGGGAGGGAGGGAGATGGAAGAGGGAAGAGATATGGGAACATATGTATATGTATAACTGATTCACTTTGTTATAAAGCAGAAACTAACACACCATTGTAAAGCAATTATACTCCAATAAAGATGTTAAAAAAATTAATTTATTTTTGGCTGCATTGGGTCTTCGTTGCTGTGCACAGGCTTTCTCTAGTTGAGGCGAGTCGGGGCTACTCTTCATTGCAGTGCGCGGGCTTCTCATTGCAGTGGCTTCTCTTGTTGCAGAGCATGGGCTCTAGGCGCACGGGCTTCAGTAGTTGTGTTACACGGGCTCAGTAGTTGTGGCTTGAGGGCTCTACAGCCCAGGCTCAGTGGTTGTGGCACATGGGCTTAGTTGCTCTGCGGCATGTGGGATCTTCCTGGACCAGGGATTGAACCCATGTCCCCTGCATTGGCAGGCGGATTCTAAACCACTGCGCCACCAGGGAAGTCCCTTCCTCTTTTAAAGGCTGCATAATATTCCACTGTATGTATGTGCCACATTTTCTTTATCCATTCATCTGTTGATGGACATTTTGATTGTTTCTACCTCTTGGCTATTGTGAATAATGCAGTGAACAAAATGGGTGTAAAGATATCTCTGTAAGATCCTGCTTTGAATTCTTTTGGATATATACCCAGAAGGGGGATTTTGATGGATCATCTGATAATTCTATTTTTAATTTTTTGAGGAACGTTTGTACTGTTTTTCCATAGCAGCCAAACCACTTTATATTCCAGTAGTGCACCAGGGTTCTAATTTCTCTTTATATTCATCAACACTTATTGTCTGTTCTTTTGTTAGTGATTATCCTAAGGAGGTAATATCTCATTGTGGTTTTGATTGCATTTCTCTAATGATTAGTGATGTTAAACATCTTTTCATTTGCTTGTTGGCCATTTGTGTATCTTCGTTGGAGAACTGTCTATTCAAGTCTTTTGCCCGTTTTTGAATTGCATAATTTTTGTTGTTGAGTTATAGGAATTCCTTACATATTCTGGATATTAACCCCTTATCAAACATGTGATTCGTGAATATTTTCTACCATTTTGTGGGTTGCCTTTTCACTCTGTTGATTGTTTCCTTTGATGTACAGGGTTTTTAAGTTTGATGTAGATTTGTCTGATTTTGCTTTTGTTGCCTGTGCTTTTGGTGTCATATTGAAGAAATCATTGCTAAATCCAGTGTCCTGAAACTTTCCCCCTATGTTTTCTTCTCTGTTTTACTAATAGTTTCAAGTCTTATGTTTAGGTCTTTAATCCACTTTGAGTTAATTTTTGTATATAATATAAGATTATTGTCCAACTTTATTCTTTTGAATGTGGATATCCAGTTCTCCCAGCACCATTTGTTGAAGAAACTGTCCTTTTCCCATTTTGTGGTCTTGGCACCCTTGTTGAATATCACTTGACCATGTACATGTACATTTATGGGATCTATTCTGTTCTGCTGGTCTGTAGTGTCTGTCTTTATACCAGTACCACACTGTCATGATTACTGTTGCTTTGTAGTATGTTTTGAAATCCGGAAACATGAGGGTCCCAACTTGGTTCTTTTTTTTAAATTATTTTTGGCTGCATTGGGTCTCCGTTGCTGTGCGTGGGCTTTTCTCTAGTTGCGGCGAGCAGGGGCTACTCTTCATTGTGGTGTGCGGGCTTCTCATTGCAGTGGCTTCTCTTTGTTGCGAAGCATGGGCTCTATGTGCACGGGCTTCAGTAGTTGCGGCATGCGGGCTCAGTAGTTGTGGCTTGTGGGCTTAGTTGCTCTGCGGCATTGGGGATCTTCCTGGACCAGGGCTTGAATGCGTGTCCCCTGCGTTGGCAGGTGGATTCTTAACCACTGCGCCACCAGGGAAGTCCTGTTCTTCTTTTTAAAGATTATTTTGACTGTTTGTAGTTCCTTGAGTTTCCATATCAATTTTAGGATTTTTTTTCTATCTCTGTAAAACATGCCATTGGGATTTTCATAGGGATTGCATTGATTGAATTCTATAGATCACTTTGGGTAGTATAGACATTTTAACAATATTAAGTCTTCCAGTCCACAACCACAATGTCTTTCCATTTATTTGTGTCTTCTTTGGTTTGTTTTAGTAATGTTTTGTAGTTTTCAGTATACAAAGCTTTCACATCTTTGGTTAAATTTATTCCTAAATATTTTATTCTTTTTTATGCTACTGTAAATGGGATTGTTTTCTTAATTTCCTTTCTGGATTGGTTATTCTTAATGTGTAGAAATGCAACTGATTTTTGTGTGTTGATTTTTGTATCCTGTAAATTTGCTGAAATTGTTTAAATAGTTTTTTTGTGTGTTTGTGTAGTCTTTAGTCCTACCCAGTTTTCTAGTCCTACTAAATTTACAATACTATGTTGAATAGACATGGCAAGAGTAGGCATCCTTGCCTTTTACCACATCTTACAGGAAAAGCTTTCAGTTTTTCATCATTGAGTATTATGTTAGCTGTGGGCCTTTCATATATGGCCTTTATTATGTTGAGATAGTTTTTGTCTATTCCTAGTTTGTTGAAAGGGTATTGAATTTTGTCATGAAAGGGTATTGAATTTTGTCAAATGATTTTTCTGTACTGGTTGAGAGGATCTTATGATTTTTGTCCTTCATTCTGTTAATGTGGTATATTACATTAACTGAGTTTTATATGTTGAACCATCCTTGCATCCCAGGTATAGATTCAACTTGGTCATGGTGTATAATCCTCTTAATGTGCTGTTGAATTTGGTTTGCTGGTATTTTGTTGTGAATTTTTGCATCAATATTCATTAGGAATATTAGTCTGTAGGCTTTTTTTTTTTTTTTTCTTGTAGGTTCCTTGTCTGGCTTTGGTATCAGGGTAGTGTTGGCCTCACAGAATGAATTGGGAAGTGTTCCCTCCTCTTCAGTTTTTTGGAAGAGTTTGAGGAGCACTAGTGTTAATTCTTCTTTAAATGTTAGGTAGAAATCTCCAGTGAAGCCATCTGGTCCTTGGATTTTTTAAAATTTTTTTATTTTTTTTTGCGGTATGCGGGCCTTTCACTGTTGTGGACTCTCCTGTTGTGGAGCACAGGCTCCAGACGTGCAGGCCCAGCGGCCATGACTCATGGGCCTAGCCGCTCCATGGCATGCGGGATCTTCCTGGACTGGGTTAAGAACCTGTGTCTCCTGCATCGGCAGGTGGACTCTCAACCCCTGCGCCACCAGGGAAGCCCATGTCCTGGGATTTTTTTGTTGGGAGGTTTTTGGTTATTATTTTAATCCCCTTACTAGTTATAGTTCTACTTAGATTTTCTATTTCTTCATGATTCAGTCTTGGTAAATTGTATGTGTCTGGGAATTTAAAAAAATAATTATTTTTTGGCTGTGTTGGGTCTTAGTTGCAGCACGTGGGATCTTCATTGAGGCATGTGGGATCTTTCGTTGAGGTGTGCGGACTTCTCTCTAGTTGTGGCATGCAGGCTTCTCTCTAGTTGCGGCATGTGGGTTTTCTTTTCTCTAGTTGTGGCGTGCAGACTCCAGAGTGTGTGGGCTCTGTAGTTGTGCGTGGGCTTAGTTGCCCCTCAGCATGTGGGATCTAAGTTCCCCCACCAGGGATCGAACCTGTGTCCCCTGCGTTGGAAGGCAGATTCTTTACCACCAGACCACCAGGGAAGTCCTTTGTCTGGGAATTCATTCATTTTTTCTGGATTGTCCAGTTCATTGGTGTATAATTGTCTATAGTATTATAATCCTTTTAATTTCTGTGACATCAGTTATAATATCCCATTTTCATTTCTTATTTTAGTGATTTGCATTTCCTCTCTTTTTTTTCTTAATCTAGCTAAGGGCTTGTCAATTTTGTTGATCTTTTCAAAAAACTAACTCCTAGTTTATTTTTTTCTGTTGTTTTTCTATTCTGTAATTCATTTATCTCTGCTCTAATCTTTATTATTTCCTTCCTTCTGCTGTCTTTTGGTTTTGTTTGTTCTTCTTTTTCTAGTTCCTTGAGGTGTAGTTAGATTGTTGATTTTTAGATCTTTCTTCTTTTCTAATGTTTACTGCTGTAAATTTCCCTCTTACTATTGCTTTCACAGCATCCCGTAGATTTTGGTAGGTTGTGTTTTCATTTTTATTTGTCTGCAGATATCTTCTAATTTCCCATGTGATTTCTTCTTTGAGCTCCAGATGTATTTTTAACTTTAAGGTTGTATGGAATATAAAATGATTTCAGGGTTTGGTTATTAGGGGAATACAAATATGGGAAATAGCAGATCCTGTTAAAACAGCAAAAACCTAGATTATATATTTCTTTGTTCTAGGTCTTCTTCTGTTTGCATGTGCTTAAAAAAAAGGAGGGGAGTCCATTGAGCTAGTAAATAGTGAACAAAAAATGTGCCATTTCAATAGACATTTAGTGATCATCCACTGAGCACAAATCACTATACCCAGCACTGGAGATTCAAAAATGCAGAATACATCATCTCTGTCCTGAGTTTCAGTCTTGCATGAAGGATGAGATTAGGTTGTTGGTGACGCAGTAACTTAATGAAAAGAAACTTGGCAGACAATATCAGCATTTAGGAGCAATGCCATCTTAACCCTCTGCCCATGCTACCTGGAGTTATTTAACACTACTGTCCTTTAAAAAATCGTTTTTTTTCACTAGGCACAACACCATTACTGGGAGATGGCTGACCAGGTTCCAAGCTGTGTGGGACCCTAAACAAGAAGACTGTATCATAGTCGGCAGCATGGCCCAGCCACGGCGAGTGGAAATCTTCCATGAGAGAGGAAAGTGGGTGCACTCTTTTCTTGGTGGAGAATGCCTTGCCTCTGTGTGTTCCATCAACGCTATGCACCCAACTCGGTATATTTTGGCTGGTGGTAACTCCAGTGGGAGGATACATGTTTTTATGAATTAAGAAAGTTGCGGAGTTTTTGGTTTGACAACACTGATTTGTTCAAATTAATCAGTGTCTAAGGAGCCCAGTAATTCACGTGGCTTAGTCTGTTTACTTGGTAATATGTTCTATTTTTAGCAAATATAAAATTGCTTTGTTAATAAGAACTGTGAGCAGAAGGTACTTTTAGTAAGAGAAGCCTTGGAGGTTGTTTCTATAGGATGGCAAGGGAATTAAAGGGGAGACTGTGATGGCTTCAGCACTTTTAATCAGGCAGAATGTTGAGAAATTCTAACATAAATTATAAAGCTTTGAGTGATCAGTATTTTGGTTGTTTTTGTGGTTTTGCTTCTATAGTGATATATAGATTTGTGGGGTTTTTTTATAGTTTGCAGTAAATATTTATTTCTAGACTCATACACTGGAAGGGGTCCTGAAAGGTCATCTAACTCAGTGACTTTGAAACTTTTGAGTTTTTAAACTGAGCACCTTTTTTCCCCCTTGCCTCTAAATTAAATCTTACATGAAATCCCAAGAAATTGCTGAGAAGCTTTGGTTCACTTGGGCAGGGCCTGTGTCTGTGTGTGTTGACCCTTTCCCTCCCGCTCCTCTACATGGCTCCTGAGACACAGCTAAGGAAACCCAGGGCTTGTAGGCACAGGGTTTGGATCTACCTGATTGTTGTAATCCAGTATGAGATTAACTTCAGACCAGTGTTTCCCAGACTGTGGTTTGTAGCTGTTCACATGAAATCAGTTAAGTGGCCATGAACAGTGTCTACAAAAATGAAAAGGAGAGAAATAGTAAAGAATAGCAAACTTAGAGTAAGTATTCTTTTGTGAAACTTAGTTCCATATGCATACATATTTGTAGGTATACATGCATACGTATATTCTGATGTAAAATGTATTTCTTTATTACTGTGGTACTGTGGGTCATGGTTAAAGAAGTAAAAGCGCCTGACTTAGAAAGTCATAGACAGCCTTATCTGTCCCTGTCTTTAAACTCTCCAGAGGAGATTCAATAACCTGGGGAAGTGTTATGAAATACCATTTTTGGAATTCCTTCATAAAATTTTTTTTTCAGAAGCTATGGCAATTTGAATGTGTCTGTTGTTGGATATTACTAAATCAGTGACTAATATTACTGTGTGACCTTACCTATCCAACTTTTTCCATTGTTCTTCATTGCCAAACTACTACTGAAAGCCTGTTGTAAATAGCTTCAGCAATATGTTTGATTTCTAAGAGGAAATATTAACTTTTCATAATTGTATATCACAGAAATAAAGTGACATGTTTCATTTCCTTGAAGAACATTTTTTTCTTAAATAATTTCCTTCTCTGTAATTAAAGTCTAAATAAGTTTTGAGGCTTAGTTTATTAATACATTGTGGGAGTTTAGAAGGAATAGGATTTCTCTATTTTCTTGGTGATATGAATACAGGAATTGATAAGCAAGGTGGAAATATTAATTTATGAAATGCAAAAAGTAAGGTCATGTGAGGTTGAGGTATATTTAAACTGTCCTGCAAATAGTAAATGAAACCTTTAGGCTCCCTTTCCCTTTTCCATGCCACTTAATTTTACAGGTTCTAGAGTAGCTAGTTCTGTGGGAGTTGTTCTTTTAAGATGTTGAAAACTACTCTCAATCAAATTAGTACTATCACTTAAGCTTTGAATACTTGGTGGTATACTTGGTGCTAATTGCCTGGCTTCTGCACCAAATGTTAGCAAATTCTTGATGTTTCTCACTTTTCTGGTTTCTTTTGCCATTGTAGCTTCATCAGCTGTGCTATTTATATCCCATTCTACTTAACAGAGTTCTGTCTTCTTGAGGCGGTGCAGGAAGGAGAGAAGGACGGTGAGTGGGGGACTTGTTTCTTGGTGATAAGCTCTATAAAGGAGCAATTGTTTAAATCTAGAAAGCACGTAAAGGACAGTTGCCTCCCTTAGGACATCCTTACACTGTATTCTGTTGTGAAAGGCACTTCTCCCAGAGACTCGCTTAAAGCTGTGTGGCTTCTGTAATTATGTGTGTATTATGATTGCTCTCTCCCTTCCGGATAAACCTTTTTTGTTAGCTGGCCTTTATAACATCTCATAAGCATGTAAGCTCTGAATTCTCCTGTAGTTATTTTCTTTGAGATGCCTGACCTTTTTTAATGTGACGTTAAGGAGGAAGGAGATGATCTCATTTGGGGTGGATGGAGACTTGGTCAGACTAAGAGAGACCACAAATGATTAGGAACTGATAGAATCTGAATTGCTTAAGACCCATTTTAGTATTCTGTCCTTTGAGTTAACCTTTCCACAGAGAAGACTTTGTAAAGATAGTTCTCCAGGAAAGCAGAGAGCTTTAGGGCTGTGGATACAAAGGTTTAAATACTTTCAGCCAGTGTACAGTACATGAGAAGAGGAGGAGGGCAGAAACATGTGCCTTCTGTATCAAACTTGAGAGGAAGAAGTATATGCACTCTGTCTTCAGATTCCAAAAACTTAGGCGTCTCGTTTGTTAGGCTGTCCTTTCTGATTTAGTACTTTTGTTTTTCCTTGTTAGTACAGAGTTGATGGCCAGTAATGAGTTTTAGTTTTAAGACAGCATAGACCCATAATTCTGGTTCATGTGGCTGTAAATGTTTGACTTTTCAAATGAAAAGGTGGAATTTTGTGAGGAAGATAATATTTAGCACAGTTACACAGAGCGAGGAGTAAAACATCTTAAGGTATGTTTTCCTAAAATGGAAGCTGTGCAAGAGGAAATGTTTTAAAAGTATCTTTTGTGTGTTTTACTCCACTCCACCAGCATGTTGTAGGGGTGTGTAGAGGAAGCCTGTTCATGAGCTAAAACCAGAAGTGTGTTCAGGTGCAGAGGGGCTTGGTTGTGGTTGAGGCACCCTAAGCAGGGGCCTTGAAAGGACGTGTGCATAGGTGAGTCGTCATTAGTTATCCAAAGAAGGGCTGTAGGGACTTCCCTGGTGGCACAGTGGTTAAGAATCCGCCTGCCAATGCTGGAGACCCCGGTTCAAGCCCTGGTCAGGGAAGCTCCCACATGCCGCGAAGCAACTAAAGCCAGGGCACCACCACTACTGAGCCTGCGTTCTAGAGCCCATGAGCCACAACTACTGAGCCCACGTGCCCTGACTACTGAAGCCCACGCACCTAGAGCCCGTGCTCCACAACAAGAGAAGCCACTGCAATGAGAAGCCTGCGCACCGCAACGAAGAGTAGCCTCCGCTCGCCGCAACTAGAGAAAGCCCGTGCGCAGCAACGAAGACCCCAATGCAGCCAAAAATAAATAAATAAATAAGTAAATTTATTTTTTTTAAAAAAAGGGCTGTAGCTGTAAGTCTGTAGGATCATGGGAAACCACTTGCATCCAGTGGTTCTCACGCTTTTTTACTCTTCAGATCACTTTAAGCGACTTTAAGAGACTCCTGTCATTAAAAAAAAAAAAACAACTTCCCTGGGGACAGGGCACTGGATATCATTTTATTTTTTTATTAATTAATTTATTTTTGGCTGCACTGGGTCTTCGTTGCTGCATATGGGCTTTCTCTAGTTGCAGTGAGCAGGGGCTACTCTTTGTTGTGGTGCGCGGGCTTCTCATTGCAGTGGGTTCTCTTGTTGTGGAGCACTGGCTCTAGGCACACGGGCTCTAGAGCTCAGGCTCAGTAGTTGTGGTGCACGGGCTTAGCTGCTCCGCGGCATGTGGGATCTTCCCGGACCAGGGCTTGAACCTGTGTCCCCTGCATTGGCAGGTGGATTCTTAACCACTGCGCCACCAGGGAGGTCCCTGGATATCATTTTAAAGGTAATAGGAACCTCTTAAAATTTGGAAGTAAGTGACATAACCTGATCAGTGCTTTAGGAAAATGATCTAGTGGCAGAATGGAGGGTTGGAAGGCAGGTAGAACTGAAAATCGGAAGATTAGATAATAAGCTAGTACAGTGGACCCTAGTCTCACTTTTTATCCTCATGGAATTTAGAAGACCATTACCAGTCCATAGCTAGAGTGATGGTTACAGAATCAGATGAGATAGTGTTAAAGGAATGTATGTTGTTAAGTTGTAAATATGAGGTTTGTAATTGTAGTGGTGATATCATTCTGTTCCCTTCATAGGAAGTGTTTGCTGTTCTCTCTCTTACTCCAGGCTTACAAACACTGGTGCAGAAGCTGGACCATCTAGATTCTCCTTTGGGCTCTGAGACTGTGTGTAACCTTGGGAAAATCATTTCTTGGTTTTCCTCATCAGAAAAATGTGGTCCAATTCATCTCCAAAATTATTCCACACTTACAGCTTCTAAGTTCTTAATAGTATTTATTTTGGGGGGAAGAACAAGGATAATAGATGGCTATAAACAAAATGATTATTTTAAATAATTCCAGTTGCAGACAGCAGTCAGCTGTGTAAATCCCACTGGTATCCTTTTATCTATGTGTTGTTAATTTTAAGGAGGAGAAAGTGAGATAGGCTGTAAGTTAAAAAAAAAAAAAGAGTCCACTCTTCTATGATATTTAAATATTTATTTACGTTTAAAAATAATTTTCATGGCACCAATGATTTTATGCTAACTACATACTGCATATGTAGAAAAAAGTACATTGCTTTGAAGGAAAATGTAACTTATAATTTTTGGCACACAAGAGGTTAACAACTATATATATTTTTAATGAAACTAAGAAATTCACATTTGCAGGTAGTTTACCTTCTACTGCTTAAAGATGCAGTACACTATTCTTTAGTAAGAGTTTTATTTCCTCTGATAGATGAAGCTGTGGAAACCACTGCTTTTTCTACAATGAGATCAAAACTAATTTTGAGAGAAAATAGGAGACATAGTGGAACACAGTAAAATCAGGTTAAAAACTTGAACAATTTCTAATGATGGGGAGATACCAAAAAAGACTAGTCACCAACAAAGGAAGTTTGTTATTCAAGCACTATTTGAAAAGCAAATTGAAGGAAACTTTTCTATCTGTATTTTGTGGGATAAGCCCTGGAAAAAAATAACCCAAAAGTTTCTGTTCAGAGAGCAAAATCCAGCTGTAGGAAGTGGAATGGACTATTGTACTGTTAGAACTCTAGACACAAGTACGTACCAGGATATGGAATACTGCATCTTTCTTTAATGTGAATATGAAAGGTCAGAGTCGAGGCTATCACTCACTGCATAGAAACACCATATTCTACAGACTGAGGTAGGAACACTACACTAAAAGGTAATCTGCTATGTTGCATAAGACAGTAGATATCCAGGTTAAAACCAGCCCCGTATTTCCTGACAGCCTTTTCTTCTCCGAGTCTACTTTTTACTCCAATCCTGTGCTAATAAAGCCTTTCCTGTAGATGACAAGTGGCAGTGGCTAGTTGGTTCTAAGCGATCCCTAATCTTTACTAGGCTCTCCCTCATATTTTGTCTTGTCACTTTGAAAATAGATGTTTGTAATTCTGCCCAAATTTCTGCTGGTATGGAAATGATCAGACAGGCCCTCTTCCATGCTTAGATTCTGGCTGCGTTTTAGCATTCCAGTGGTTGATCTTGCTCATCTTGGCATCAGACATCTCTTTGCTGGTTGGTTGTTCGAGCACCCTTTAAACAAGCAACCCCAGTGCCTCTACTGGGAAATGATCCCGGATCTTTAACACACGTCAGGAATTGGAGCAGAGCTGACCCTCTTTCTGCTTACACACTGGTAAGGAGCAGTTTTATTGTCTAGCTCGGGGTTGGCAGATTATGGCCTGTGGGCTAAATTCAGCTCACTGCCTGTTTTTATAAATAAAAATGTTATTGGAACACAGCTTTGCTCCTTTGTTTATGTATTACCTATGGCTGTTTTGTGATAAGATGGTGGAGTTGAGTAGTTGCCAGAGTATGGCCCACAAAACCAAAATAAAAAAATATTTACTATCTGGCACTTTACAGAAGAAGTTTGCCGACCCCTGGTCTAGATAAAAGGGCAATTAAAATTTTGAAACACAGCACCACCCCCAACCTTAAAAAAGGAAAAACTCCGTTTATCCATGGCTATTAGATTCTATATATGGACATGGTTCTGCTGTCTCAGAGGACAAACTTGGGGAAAGCAGATCTACATGTGACTCATTCTGTTCTGCATTTGAGGCTCCCCAGCATCATAGGGTGTCAGCAGCTGCTCCACTGTTATGTGGGTCCCAGGAATATGTCCACTGACTGTCCTTACGTAAGTCCTCAGGCCCAGATGACTTAGAAATCTCTCCCTGAGATGAAAACAAGATCTTGTGTGTGAGTGGTTGTAAGAGTTGCAGAGCTCGGGCCTCGGACCCCACACTCACCCTCCACATGCTGCTCTTCTGCATGGAGCCTCGGCAAGGATGGTAAGTGCTTTCCTACAACTTTCATTTTCCCAGTGCAGAGGATGACGCTAGGGGGCAGTATTTCTACATCTAAGTCTTGGTCTCTGCCACATTCACCTTCTTTTGTAGGCATCTCTTAGAACTCCTATTTAAAGAGATTCTTTTCCTGGTCCCTTCCCAGGCTGTTTGTTGATCTTGGAATTCTATTTTCTGAAGCTTTTTATTCTCAGGATCAGTTTCTTCCTTGTGTCGTTTAAGTTCGTCAGGCTCTATTTTTCTTAATCCATAAAGTAAAAACAAAATATGAATTGATAAGAAAATACATTTTGTTGTTAAAATATAAATTGAAAGTCTTTTTTGGGGGGGATGGTGTTGTACAAAATAAGTACTGCTCTGTGACCTCAACGGTCTCTCAGGTACCTTAGCTCTGGTTTCTGTTAACTACACTTAGTCCTGCATTTCTGACAGTTCTATCCCTGGCACCACCGAATTCACCTAATGCTTCTGGAGCACTATAAAAGTCTTGAGGGTCTTCAGAAAAAAACCCCCACAGAAGTCTAAGTTCATTATACAAAACTCATGGTGATGCCCACTAGGATCTAGTCTAAGGGGACAGACTTACCCCACCCCTGCTGCTGCTGCTGCTGTAGTGGTGGTCCCTTCAGATGCCCACTCTGCTCAGATTTGAAAGAAATAAAAGGAAAAGAAAATCCAACTCAGACCGTCATAAGAAGCAACTTTCCATTTAATCATTCTACACGGATGTTTACTTTTTTTTAAAAGCTCTGTCTGGGAAGAAAACCTAGACAGTCCCCATTGTCCAGACCCCTGGCTTGCCCCGCTGAGGCTGCAGTGATGAGTCTACTGGAACTGAGTAGGAAAGCTCCTGCAGAATACAGAAGACAACAGCTCTCTAGTCTCCAACTAGTGTCCCATCTACTAGGTGACACTACTGCGAGAATCAGTAATAATAAAATAAATTATTTTTGATATTTTCAAAATAATACACATCTATGAAAAATCAAAATTCAAAACCAAAAATTTTATCCTGCAAATTGGGAGGATGAGAAACAGAGTCGCCGAGCCTTTCTTAAAAGAACCTCTGAAGGAAATGAGTTTTCCCAGTTAGTTTAGACAAGGCATGAGCCTATCCCTTTCTTCTTCTGGGAAACGACCCTCCTAGGCTGTGGACTTTGAGTCATGAGAGGAGGACTTGGTACATGTGCCGATGGTTCCGCGATGGGTCCCATTGCTGGGAATGGGTAGCCGGGCTCCTTGGTCCACCTGGCTAGTTATTGGGAGGATTCATGCCTTCTCAGGTGTCAGTGAGCAGGCTCACCACTGAGCGGATTTTGCAGGCAAACCATCGCCTGAGGGGACAAAAGTATTGATAGTGGAATTGTTCAAACTCGGGGGTCTGGCGGATATCGCGGAAAAAGGCAATGTCAAGGTCGGACTCGGTAAGGATGATCAGGAGGAGGAGCAAAACAAAGAGGAGTCCCATGGTCACAAGGAGCAAACGGAGGACACTTAAAACAAACTTATTCACCTGTTCCTCCTCTGGCCTGCCGTGCCCCTGACACAGGGCCCTCAGCTCTCCCCCAAGGGCCTCCATCTCTGCAGCAGTTGGGGTGCTGGTCTCACACTCCTTCTCCTCCTCAATGCTGCAGGTGGCCCCATTGATCTGCCGGGAAAGCAGCATCAGCTCCAGGCTGTGCTCGGCCACAGGGGTGGGCAGCACACTGTCTGCAGGGCTGTAGGCCTCATCCGCGATCACGGCGACTCGCTCATTGCTGTCTGCCCGGCTGCTTCTCACGTGAGGCAGGAAAGTGTCCCCGTGGGAGGAGGTACGTACCGGGGTGGAGTGGGCACTGTCCCGTAGGGACTCGAGGCCTGGAAAGGCAAAAGGAAAATGAGCAGGCCTTCTGTGTGCTGGCACCCACTTCGCTGTCAGGCGGAGGCAGCACCTATCCTGCTTTATCTGGTCACTAAAATCTTAGGAGAAGCCCCTTTGCACACCCCACGTGACCAGCAGCAATGGCCACTGCACTCTGTTTTGATGTATCAAGAATAGGACAAGAGAAGCAGCAGGAACCAGAGTGGCATTGGTTGCAAGTTTCTTTCTTTTTGCTTATAGTTTTGGCCATATTGGTTAAAGATTCTGCCTTTCTTGCCTTTGGTGTCTTGGGCCTGGCTTTAGCCCAATTTGAAAGAGAATCGCAGACTATCCCTGACCCAACCAGAGCTGGGGTCATGGTTCAGGGAGCCGAGGGCCTTGAGAGGCAGGAATGTGGAGGAGACTGTGTTTTGCCCAGCTGGGCCTCATCAAATACAGATTCTGGAGCCGAGTGTCCTCCTAACAAGCCGGCACACAGCTCCTTGAGCTCATGAGCTCATCTTTTGGATTTCTGCAGCTGCTATCAGGCTCCTCAGCCGCCCAGTTCTAGCTGTCCTGACTGTGGGAGGTAAAAACCTGATCTGCTCTTCCTAAGTGCTCCCCTCTCTTTTCACCTTAGACTGAGCCGGGTCCAGAACAGGCTGACGGCTCCCCTTGCTTTAGCTACTCCAGAGTACAGAGTGGTCTCTGAGACGATCTTGTTGCATCAGTGGGAAATTCGCTTACATTAGTTAGGAGGAAGGGTCTTCTGCCCCTAAAACTACTCATTATCTCTTTACTTTCTTAGATGGAACATTTCTTTCTTTCCAGGGCTCAAAGCTCTAGTAGGGAAGAACAGGAGCTGGTTACCCCCCCTCAACCAAACAGCAGCCACCCAGGCCAGAGGATGTCAGAGCTCAGAGTCACCAAGTGTGGCCCATGTCATAGTGCTCCCAAGGAAATGGCTTCTTGTTTTCAAGTTCAGTGTCTGTATTTTCTACTCCTGGCCATATTGGTGGTTCCAGAGTGGCTCTCCCTGCTTTTGTGGTCCACATCACGAGAAGCTCGTCCCCTTCTGTTGCTCTGAAATCGACCCTGACTGCCCCAGACAGCTGGACACTCAGCTAGTAAAGGTAAGACCTAACCAGGGCCAATTACGGAGTTTTCTGGTTCTGGGCTGGCTTCAGAAGCCCCAAGGTCTCTTTTAAAAGGTGCCAGTAACATTTCAGAAATAGCGTATCTCGTCTTCCTTGGTAGGTAGCCAGTTGCAGCCAGGCCGCCTGCCTGCCCAGCCTGCTGTAGCCCGTCTCGGCATACACACAGTAAAAGATTCTCCATAGGAACGAACCCTGGGTTACGAACGAGTGGTTGGCATGGGCAGGGGAGATGGCAGCCCCCTGCTATCCGCCTCTGCTCCCCACCACCTCACCATTAGTATATTAGCAGCAGCTCTCGGCTCCTGCTTTCAGAAGCTGCACAGTCCTGGCTGTATTTCCTTTGTCCCTATGCTATAAGATACTTAAATTTGTATAATGTTTAAAACTTTTTAAAGCACTTCCATTTTATCTTTAAACAACTTCATGAAGTGGTGAGGGCAAGAGGTTACAGTCACGTGGTTGGTTGTTACTGGCAAAGACAAGGGTAGAATCCAAGCCTCTTTCTATTCCATGGTGCTAATGATCATGCAGTTGGATTCCGGGGAGTGGAACAACAGGCCAGGATGAATTAAGTCAACAGCCTGCACCTGCCTTAGACTTAGGTCCCAATTGCCCAAGAAACTGTTGTGAAATAAGGTGAAATTAAGAGCCTGTCCCTTGTTCCAGAGCCTTTGATGTTCCTCTGTTTTCTGTTTTCCCCAGTGTTCCTCCCTTCTTCCCCCATTTGCACGTGTGTAGCATGAGAAACATGTACCTGGGAGTGTGAAATGGGTTTCTGATAAAACAAACCTTTCCAGGCTCTGATCTTACATGTTGCTGGCTCAGCTCCTTTCCCAAGTACTCTTCTGGCTCCCTGTTCTCTGGAACCTCAGCCCTGTTGCACAGGGCACCTCACACCCTTTCAAGGGCTGTCCCCTCACAAGGACAGCTCTGACTGCCAGATCTTCCAATGTATGACCAGCATAGCTGCCGGAAGCCACTTAGTGCAATCATAGCCTGGCCTACAATTCAGCCCTAAGCCTGCTGGGGAAGGTGAGGGGCAAAGGCTGTGACATCAGAAAGAGCTAATCAGAGGGACACCAGAAGCCACATTATAATGAGTTGTTGGTGCTCTCAGTAAACAAGATAATGGCTACATATGTATTTCTAAGTAGACAGCCTGACAAACAAAATTACTCAGTAAATGTTAATCTTCTGTTCCCCCAACAGACCTCACCTATAAAGTTAAGGTTATTCCTATGCTAGGTTAGTCCTGTACAGAATTTCAGGTTTCACTAGAAACCACCACTCGCCTCAAACCTGTTATTCTGGGATGGATGGGGTGGGTGCCGTGGGTGGGATCTGGGTGAGTGGCACAGCAAAACAGAGGGTGTCTTTTTACCTTGGAGGTGCTCCAGCTGATCACCTTGCCCAGAGGTGGCTCCCAGTGGGCCAGGGGGCACAGTGGTCAGGAGCCTACCCTGGAGCCGGGGCCCCATCCTCAGGATGCGCACACTCAGGGGCCGAAGGCAGTGATTAGTCAACCGGAGCTGAACTCGGACTCTGGTGTGAATCTTAATCAGACTCTTCCCCATGGTGGCCCAGGAAGGCAGGTACTTCGTCAGTGGAAATCAGCTGATCTCTTCATGGGAACCAGCCAGGCGGGGAAGGTACAGAGGGAAAGGATGGGAAACCAACTGACCTCACGCCATAGCAGCCCTTTCGCAGTGCCTCCCATGCTGGAGAGAAAAGGTTGGCTCTGAGAGTCTCAGAGCAGACTGAGCTGCAGGGAAAGAGCAGCTCTGAGAGGCCAGCGTTATCAGGGGACTGGATTCAGTCAGAAGGACTTAGAGCTATAAAAGGTAATGGTTTCCCAGCCAGTAGCTGTTTCCCTGAGGCTCGTATAAGGGCCCCAGACCTCTCAGAGGGTGAGGAACAGAGAGGGCAGGGAATAATCCCAGAGAGTAGGGGAAATCGGGACTGTCCCAGAAAATCCAGCATGTGAAGCTACAAAGAAAATGGCTTTGGGTTGGGTGGCTCTGAAGTGTAAGGCGGTGGCTCTGGGGCTGGAAATGGGCTGCATCCCCTCCTCCACTGGGATCTATGCTATTTGTCTGGCTGCCCCATGGGGCACAATGGGTGAAAGAACTGACATACCTGAATGTCCTCTCTGGGTCAGGCCTGTACTAATAACTTGTGTTATCTTGGCATCCCCTAGAGCAGAGGGCAGGGCCAACCAATGCAGTCTTCTTTTTAAGGGTCTCAGTTCATTGAGATTACATGGTTTCATTCAAACTGTAACGTTACGTTAATGTTTTTTGCAATTTTCCCCACTGTTTTTGGAGATAGCAAACAAAGCTTTCCCCTGGAAAAGGCAAATGGTTTCTGTGATATTAATTATGTGCCACATGGACTATAGGAAAGACAATCCCTGATGGAGCGTGAACCAATTTCAACTGTCCATAACTTCCTGGGCGTTTTGATGGTTTGTGTCCTTCCTCTGAGGTCCCCATTGACTCCCTCTCACCCTTCCCTGCCTGGTTGGGGTGAACAGTGAGGGTCAGCCGTGTTAGGTGCTTTAAAGGCAAAACCCCTCTTGAGAGATGACGCAGCTGAACTCTCACCTCCTGAAATAATCCATTCTTTATTTCCCCAGGCTTGATGATCCCTGCACTGATAGAGCCGCTCAACTGCTAAAATCTTGTATTTTTTTTCACATCCAAACCAGATGTCCATCTGCCTCTCCTCACCCTGAATTACATTCTGCCTGTGAGTTTCATTCCTGCCAGGGCAGTTCTCAGCTTCTACCCACGCTCTTCTGAGTCTAATGGGCCTCGAGGGCCATGACCGGGGATGAAGACTGTGCTTGTCTATAGGCACCACTGGGCATGGGGTGTAAGGAGCACGTTGGCTTGGGGAGTAGCACGTGGAGGCCTGCTGTGTTATAATCTGCCAGGTGTGAAGTTCTGAGCCTAAGCTTTTGAGGCCGTGCCCTGGCCCTGGGGTGGGGGGGGTCTCTGCTCTAATAGCTTTCTGCACCCTCCCCTGGCATTTTGTAAGCATGGTGACAGTTTTGGATGTTGAGGAGCCTACTGCTGCTACAGTGGGAGAAGACAGGTTCTGGGAGGAGGCTGAAGGCACAGCCAGAGCTGGTTGGGAACTGAGGCAGCCTCACAGCTTGTCTTGGGGGAGCTTGAGGATGGTTCTCCCCACCTCTGAGTTGTTTTGCTAACCCTGCTTGGCAGCTACTCCAAATGAGTTATATCCCCACATGGATGGCCTCAGTCTTCCCTCTTCTGGGAATGCTGGTTTTACTGGACATTCTTCCATATGCTGGGGAGCAGTAATGCCTGAGGCTGCTCTCCTATGCGATACCTGCATTAGGGCCAGCTTCCCCCAGGGGGTGGCCTTTTCTCTGGGAGGACAGCTGTCCCGACTCTCTGCAAGAGCCTTGGGATGAACCTGGTGGCTTCAGCCTCAGGGCAGACGGGAACAAGGGCCACAGAGAGGGGAGAAAGTTATGTTTCCTCAAAAGAGGAGAAGACAGTCCACTTTCCTGAGATGCACACCCCAAAATAAGAGAGCTGGGCTCACTTCTCCCGCTCAGCCTAAGATAGGAGGGAAAACCAGGGGGCTGTGTCTGATGATGGCCAGCCCTCAATAATTCCATACCTTGCATAGCCATTATACTTGGGAGTTTCCAAGGCACCTTCCCCCACCCCCCACCCCTTTCTACAGTGGGGGCAACAGGCTCAGAGAGGTTAAGCAACCTGCCCAGAAAATGTGTGGCAGAGCTCCTATTTTGACTTCATCCTTGACTTCCTGACCAGGGCTCTTTGCATTGTGCTTGCTGCCTACCCAGTAAACGCTTTCATCTCTTTAAAGTACTTGCATGTACATCAGCTTCCTTGAAACCCATGGAGTTTTACAAATGGAGCAACTAAGGTACTCACATAAATAAGGCCTTTGATCGTGGTTCTCTCCCAAAGGTTTAGTCTAATACTCTCAGATCTACAAACCCCTCCTGGACCACAGCTCATCAGGGCTGGATGGGATTACCCTTCACCTGACACCCAGCTGGTGTTCCCATTGACTGGATGAAACATTCTCCCTACCATTGGAGAAACTTGCTGCTGTCTCTGCTGTCTCTAGTGCAAATTCACTTCTTTTCAAGGTCCCTGTGAGGAACCGGTCCAGGTGACAACTTGGAGGAACCCCAGGTCATCTGCAGAGCTCATGCTCACCTTCCATGATGGAGATGTGAACAGCTCTTCTCCGGGTCCTAGGGACGCTGCTCAGCCTTGGGCCATGGGTTATGGAGGGACAGCTGCGGCTGGGGACCATCCCTGCTCTGAGGTTAAAGAAAAAAAGAATTCTGTTGACTTAGTGCACTGACAAATGTGGTCAGGACTCAGAGTTGAGGACTGGTTACTAGAATTGCCTGAGAATTGCCTGGCTGTGTTAAGGTTTGTTTTGTTTTTAAAAATCTTTAATACCTGCTTTCTGCTTTTAGTCCCTGAATCCCAGTCAGAGACACTACTTCAAACTTGTCAACCTCCTTATATCCCAGACCTACCTGAACCTTTCTTTAGTGTGGCAGTGGTGCCACTGGTCCCTGGGCAGGATTGTCAGAGAGTAGAGCCCCAGGATATGTGGTGCTCCTAAAAATGTGCCTAAGACTGATATGCGGCCTCCCCTGACTTCCCACAGAGGGCAGGGGGGTCCGTGTGAAGGCAGGTAGTAATGCTCCCATTCCCAGAGGTCAGTCTGGTTGGCAAACCCCAGACCTTTTGGCCAATCATATTCTCCCTCAGTCTTACCAGGTTTTAGGCGATGGCCTCCTGGAAATTTATGATTTACAGTTACACATAAAGCATGGATCCTGAAACTATTTCAGACCTAGTGTGACTGGCTTCCTGTAATGCCCTGTTTCCAGAGCCAATGAAATCTTGCTGCTTGGGCATGTCCTCCAAGGTCTATGACCAATTTCAGGACTTGGGATGATGGTAGAGAATTACCCAGGAAGGCGGCTCCTGGGTCTGATGTACTATCTGCATTAGCCCACCTTCCCTCATTCTCCAGGGTCATCCTGTTCCCATGCCTTTGACTGAGATGGGTCTCTTCACCCTGCTGCCCTGTTTGGAAGCCATCATGGCCAGAATCTTCACAGTACTCAAACTGCTGGCTCTTTTAAGAGTCCGAGATCTGAGCTGGACCTGGTTTGGGGATAAGCCCCTGGTGCCTACCTGTGTATTTCTGGTGGCTCCCGTTTGATCTTGGCACTGGACTCCATCACTTCCTTTGCAACTCGGCCACTATAAGTAGTATAAATAAAACAAGCAGCAAGAAATGAGACAGTGTTCCAGGACTGAGCTCCTCTGTAAGATCTCAGATACTTGAGCTGAATTGGGAAGTGGCCTCTTTGGCCTACCCCTTCTCAATGTTTAGGCCACTGAGTAGGGCTTGCTTGCTGGGGTAAAGAGCTCTAAGGCGTCCTAACAGCTCTCTGTCTCTGCGGTCTTTGGGATCTTCCATCCTCATTTAGGAATGATTCCTCATTGTCCAGCGTGTTCCAGAAATATTGCAAAAAAATGAAATCTTTAGATAGAAATGAAAGGAATCACTCTTACAGTTCTTATTTTGCTGCTTTTGTAAGGGCAGGAGAAGACACACATTTTAACCCCTACAGGCAAACAGCTGCAGGGAAGGAAAGAAATAGTCAAAGGGTTAGGAGACAGGAGAATCGGATGGAAACCTCACACTCCTCTGGAGGTTCCCAGCGTCTTTGTTCTCAGGATAAGGACCACTGGGCCACCCTTCTCCAGAGAAGGGTCTGAAAATAGGTCCATAACGGTTACTTACTGTCACTATTTACCTGTATCGGAACCGGCTCCCTTTAAAGAATAAATTGCTGCTGGACACTGTGCGGACTTGGCTTGACTTCTCCAGCCTGCAGCAAGGCAAAGTCCAGTGTGAGAGATGGTCTGCAATGCCTTACAGCCTAAGGCTGTGTCCCTAGCTCCTTCCAAAGGCTACTTGAAAGAACCCCTCAGGAAAAGGCCCTTCACAGCCCTGCTTGTCTCTGACTCCTTTAGCACCTGAGGGCTGTGTTCACGGTCTCAGTGCTATGGACAGGCATGCTGCAATCCACTTCCACGTTAGGAGAGTGAGGGCTCCCCAAGAGTGCCTCATGGGTTCACCATGGGGACTGAGAGAATAAATGTTAGGGAAAGAGAATGCCACCTGCTGAATCTCAGCCAGGCCACTGGTTAGCAGTGTGACCCTGGGCAAATTTCTCCTCTGTTAGCCTCAGTCTTATCTATAAAATGGTGGAGCTGGGACTGCTTGACCTCAGGAGTCCCTTCCAGTCCTAGTATTTGAGAATTCATGTCCATGTCTGGGTAACTGTGGGTGGAGAAGAGAGTAGTGCCCTTCCTATTCCATCTCCTTGGAGCGAACCTAAAGTATATTGTCACATTAGAGACTCTGAGAAGTCGTGAAATGAAGAAACTAGCTGAACTTTAATAAAAGTTCCACCACTTGTTTGAACTTGGAACCATTTGCCCTCCCCCAGAAAGCCCATTAACACCACTTTCAAGGCTGTGAACAGCTGAGGTGGAGACTCTGGAAGCCACCCTTGAGTGACTGCTCTGATCCCTGTACTCCTCTCACTTAGAAAGGGAAGCATGGGCAGAGCTGCCCAGATTGAATCTCCTAAGACCTGACCCCATCCACAACACGTCCTGGGTGCCTGTAGTGCTAACCCAGCTGGGAACCGAACTGGTCTGAAGCCTTTGTTCTGAGCGGGCAGTGAATATTTAGGGAGTTGTCCCTATAATCCATGAACAGCAGGTGCTGGGGACACCATCCCCACCTGTCTCAGGGCTCCATGAGGCTCTGAGCCTACTTACTCTCCTGTCTGAGCACATTCCTTTTCTTTTCTTTTTTTTTTTTTGGTTTAAAATATTTAATACGTGTTAGACACGTAAAGTTATTTTTTTCTGAGCACCTTCTTGAGCCTGACCGGCTCCCTTCAAAGCACTAGGCCAAAAGCGGGGCAGGGATCTGCCCATGACAGACACTCTGAGTGAGGCCGAAGTGGCTCCTGCTAGCGACTTGGCATAAATGAGGGTCTGACCCAGGCTAGAGGCTTTTAACACCTAATTAGTAGTCATGGAGAACAGTGAAAAGCGGCCTTGGTTTCCAGTGTGGATGTGGGCAATCTGTTAAGGAAAGACTCAGAAACTGAGTTTGGTCACAGGCTCAGAAGCACAATTCTGTTCCCATGGCTCAGACGGAAAAACAAAGGAGGGCCTCCAGAAATGGTGCTGAAATGTTTTCTCGGCTTTCCTTGGACAGCCAGGGACTGAATAGGAGGGAAAGGTGACCACATGAAAGTCTTCCGAGTGTCTTCTCCATGAGAAGAAAGAAGCCCACTCAGGTGAGAATTCAGGCTGCCCATTCAACTCACCCGATTCTGGTATCAAATGCACAGAATTGATTATACAACTCAGAAAGCCTGCCCAAGAAACAGCCTGTGGGGGCCAGCATCCCACAGCAGTCAGCAGGTAGCAGAGTCTGTTGAGTGGGGAGGAAGATGGTGCCCTCCCAGCCCAGAGCAATTCTGCTCTGGATCCTTCAGGTTACCAGAGGGAGAACTGTGGCCTGTCGGGAGAGGAGTATACCACACATTCTGTCTTATGTTGTTCGGATTAAGATGCAGCTTATTAAAGCATAAGTCATGGCATTCTATTTTAAAAACAAGACCAAGGGTTTTAGCGAAATACACTTCATCTGGCATCACCCCAGTTTCTCGATGGGCTATTTCTTTGCTCCCTAATGCTTTTATAACAACTTTTTTAATCAAGGAAAGCTGGGCACAAAAGCGTCAATATACTTTACAAAATCATTTGGTAAGCTGAGATCTCTCCTTTGCCCCAAAGCTGCTATCTCAGTAACAGTCAAGTCCTTGCTTCCTCCAGCTACCCCACCCCCGGCTCCTGAGCACTTGGCCTGTCACTGGCAACACCTCTGTCAGTGACACACCAGGAAGGGCTGGTATCAACCCCAGCTCAGCACCAGGCCACCCACTGGGGAGCGGGCCCCAGAGTCTCTCCAAGGCTTAGGGAGCTGCTCTGGGCTGCGCCTGTTCCTTCATGGAGCTCTTGTATTCTGGGCTCTGAATGGCTCCAAGGGGCCAGCTTTATTCAAGTCAGGCACCTGTGGGCTTTCTCTGGCCCAAGCCTTACCCTGAAAAGACCCAGAACTGCTTTGCCACTGGGGGCTGTCCAACGACATCGCAAGGTAGACACCTTGGGCAACTCCGCTGACACGCATTCCCAGACATCAGCTCTGACCCTCCAGGTGGTACAGACAGCCACCTGGAAAGGGGTCTGAGTTTTATAAGGAAGCCCAGCCTTGTCATCTCATGTCTCCTTTGTCAGAGTTTCTCAAACTTTCCTGCCCATTGTTCCTCTGAAAGTAGCTTCTATGGCTTTGGCCCTGATAAAGGCAGTTCCCATCCCAGGTGTCCACTCACTTGTAGAAGGCTTGGTTCTCTATCCCACATTTCCAGAGATGCTTGCAGGCTTCTGGAGTTGGAGCAAAATATGTGAGAATAATTTTCTTTTCCTACAAAAAATCCCACATAGAAACAGCTGAGTGTGGATGGCAAAGCAAAGGGTGAAGAGGCCCAGGACACTGAGCCCTGAGCTGTCTGAAGGCTCCCCAGTGCTCTCAGGGAGAGGCTTCAGACGGGGAAGGGGCTGCTGGCCGGAAGAGAAGCCTGCAGCACCCACAGGACAGAGCTGAGTTCAGTGCAGAATGGCACACCTGGCAGGTCCAATCGGAGTAAGTCTCTGCTGGCACTGCTTGAACCAAGTGAGCCCTCCCCAGAGAAAGTGGCACTCTCATCTGGAATTTTCTTTCTTTCTTTCTTTCTTTTTTTTTTTTTTTGGTATTATCTTCCTGGAATTTTCATATGGAAGCAAAAGAATCTTACTCTGTACTTCCTGGAGGTATGGAACCTCTGAGGGTCACCAGCATCCCTGAGGAAGTCCCTGTGCTCCAGGACCTACAGCCACCTGTCGTCATCTCATGTCTCCTCACCTCCAGCCTTGAACTTGGTCCCGGCTTGGCATGCAGGGGGCTTAGCTCTGCCTGGATGGACCACTTTGGTTCAGCCCTGGCCATCAGGAGCCACCCCAGTGCCCCAGCCCTCCCTGAAGAGAAGGAAGCCAGCACTCACCTCTTTCTGACTTACGTACAAATAGAAAGTCTTTCCTTCAAATTTCAGCTTGGTCACCTCATTCCTAGAAGCACAAAGAGAAGGCCCGTCATCTCACTGTGGGCTGCTTGCTCACAGCTAAGTCTTGTAGATGCACAGCCCACCCCGACTGGAAGGGGCTCCAGGCACAGACACAGTTTTAGCCAAAATTAGAACTGAAACAAGACAGCAGCGCAGGGGCCTTAGAGAACAGTTGTTGAAACAGTTCAATCCACAGTTTTCTGGTCAATCACACTATAATAATAGGGTGATAGGAGGATTTCGGGCTCATCAACAGTGGCTGTAAAAGGGAAACGTTTGCATGGGAAGTGAGTCTAGGTAGAGTGGTCCTGGGCCATTTCGGGATTTGGTTCATAACACAGGTGCATTATCTTGATGGGACTGTCAAATGTAAGATGCCACAGGTAGCTGATGAGGCCAAAGTTCAAGATAACAGCAAATAATGAAAAACAATGCGACCAGGTTCTGAGGGAGTTGAGTCTTTCAGGTGACTGTGCCACTGGATGGAAAATGCAGTTTAATGCAGACAAATGTCAAACGATCTCAGGGAGGGGGGGCAGGGCAACATACCAAAGAGAGAGAACAGATTACATGGAACAGTCATGCAGCGTACTGACCAGGAAAGGGGCTTAGGGGTTTTTGTAGAAAAATCCTTGAAGCCACCAGCCCAGTGAATGGCTGCAGTAAAAGAGGCAAACAGGATACTGGGGTACATCCACCCGCAGGACAGACACAAATCAGAAGAAGTGACATGGTTACTGTACATGGCACGACTTAGACCTCACCTCCACATACTGCTCTCAGCCTTGGTTACATTTACAAAATGGAAAAATGACTGGGGTCTTAGGTGGATGTCCCTGAGAGCCAGAGAACTAGGCCTCAGCATTGGTCACTCCTCACTTCCCTTCCATTGGCCTGACACAGCTACCCTCTGGAGCCTGACGGCCCTCCTACCTCACTGGGGGCAGAGTCTTTATTTTTCTACCCAACTGGGACCCCCCAAGGAGGTCTGACCATGCATATCTGCCTCCACTTGGCTTCTTCCTCTTTGCGATTTCTAGGGAGATTTCCTCAATATCCTAGAAAGTAGCAGAAAGGTAGTGAAAACAATGTACCCAATTTACTACTGGACAAAACTCAGGGGACAGAGGAAAGTCACCTATTCCCTGGAAATCATAGCTGGGTCAGGATGAGAGCTCACAACTTCTGACCACCAGTTCTGAGCTAGTACAAGCCACATGGGATTCCTTCCCTGTTAGATTCCCTCCCAATCAATCAATCTCTCATACACATACAGAATACAATAAATATCAATTGATTGATATATAAACAAGCACACAGATCATCCTAGGCTTCAACAAGCAAGATAGGAAAGTAGGAAATTTTCTATTGGAAGTGTGATTAAATTTACATCTATTACTTTAAAGTTGAGGCATATGAAGAGACGTCCTGAAGAAATGGGCTGTGAGAGAAGCTATAGAAGGAAAAGGGTCTGGGACAACCCAGTGAGCAGCAGGGCTTCTGGAGGGTAAGGATACTTTAGGGACTACAGGCCCCGGTGTGTCCTACCTGTTTCTAGCTAAAATGCCCCCTACCAGCCACCTCATAAAGACAGCTACCCTGGTTGGAGTGTGGCCAGGATCCGGGCCTTCTAAGGAACATCAGATGACCCAGAGGTCTCCAAAGAGCAAGTGCTCCTCCCTGGGAGAGCGGTGGCCTGACCCTGTTCACTGTCTTTTTCTGAAAAGTATCTTGTTGGACAGAAGACCCCCAAACCCTCACCATCTTCACCCAAGAAGTGCAGTGAGTGGGCCAGCTTGAGAAGGGGTAGCAAATGGGCGTGTTGGGGAGCACACCGGTTAGCCCAGTGCAGCAGGCCGCCCTGGGAAGGGGTTTTCTGGGGAATGGGGCCTGGCCGGGCATGTCTGGGGAGCAGTTTCACAAGCACTGTGGTTGATCATGTCGCCAAGCTTCACAAGAGCCACAAGGGTTGGAAAGGGGGTGTCTGTCCACAAGATAACAGGGGAGCTGAAGAGGATGTCGCAGGAGAGCTGGCCTGTAGCATCCCCAGCAGAAAGCTCACCAGGGAGCAGCTCTGTCATCAGGTTCCCTGCTAGCTCTTCTTGAGAAGGTGGAGGAAACAAGACAGGAGCAGGCTTCCCTGGCTGAGCTCTGCTGGGCCAAGGAAAGACACCTGTCCAAGCCCCTGAGAGGAGCTGGCCAGCTTAGACTTGGCAGTCTAAGGCCCAGGAAGGTTCAGAGGTCACAGGGGCTTAGTAAAATATACAACATGAGGCTGCAAGATGTTTGCGTGGGCCAGAAAACGGGTCTCTAGGAGAGCCAAACGTCCATCAACAAACCAGAGTCTGCTGCATCAGCTCACAGAGCCACGCAGCAGAACAGACCCCAACAGGTGGGCGGACAGGAAGCAGTTCCGAGCAGCTGTGGCTGCAGCAGTGGCTCTTGCCTGCTAGAACTGGGAGCGGGAGAGGCAGGGGAGGGAAGAAAGAGTGGGGATGTGACTCTTGGAGGCTGAGGACACCTAAGCCCTGAAGAGGGACGTGAGACAGAGCAGCATCTGTGCTCCTGCAGGCAGGGCCCACTGTGGGGTTTGGTCCAAGGAGGGTGTTTTGCCAGAGCAACAGGGTAACTTATATCTGCCCCAGGGGTCATTGCAAGCCCTCCTTCGTTAGGAGAGTGGGTAAGGAGTAAACATCCCTGCAGATGCTACGGTCCTCAGCAGGGTACAGTCCCAAGGACTCAGTTCTCATGGGAACTTTGCTTCCCTAACATTGGCTCCAGCTCTAGACGTCTCATCCTACCCAGAAACCAACCTTCCATACCCTTTCTCTCTCTGGAGAGGCTGTTGGCTCTCAGGAACACCCCTGTGGAAGCATAGGATCCCTAGAAGAGACCACTACCTTCATCAGTTACCATTATGGATGCAAGGCTTTGGAGAGGGCTCAGAACCAGAACTCGCCCAATCACAGACATAGGACATGGGAACCACAGCCCTCCCCAGTTGGTGAGGTATAAAAAGCCTGTTTTGGAAATAAAGATACTCACCATTTAATGAAGTGGACCCTCTTGTTTCCTTGCAGAACAACAAACCCAAAAGGAGTGAAGGCCAGAAATGCAGCATTTCCTGACACATCCTGTAACACATAAAGATTTCTCATCAGGGTGATGCAGGCACAGAGGTAAAAGGGTGAGAAACACAGTTGTTCACTGGGGATACAGGGTTAATACTTGGCCGTTGGTCACAGAGGGAAGAGCCTGGCATTTGGAAGTAATAGCCAAGTTACTTACCTTTTCTGAGCCTCGGTGGCCTTAACTGTAAGTTGTAGATTATAATACCAATCTTAGAAAGCTGTGGTGAATATCCAAAGAGAACCGCAAACCCTCACACATTGCTGGTGGGATTGTAAAATGGTGCAGTCACTTTGGAAAGCAGTTTGGAAGTTCTTCAGATTGTTAAACGTAGAGTTACCATATGACCCAGCAATTCCACTCCTAGGTATGTACCCAAGGGAATTGAAAATTATGTTCACACAGAAACTTGTGCATGAATGTTCATAGCAGGATTCTTCATACCAGCTGCAAAGTGGAAATAATCCAAATGTCCATCAGCTGATAAGTGAATAAACAAAATGTGGTACATCCACACAATGGAATATTATTCAGCAGTAAAAAGGAATGAAGTACTGATACCTGTAACAACACAAATGAACCTTGAAAACATTATGCTAAGTGAGAGAAGCCAGTTACAAAAGATCACATGTTGTATGCTTGCATTTATATGAAATATCCAGAACAGGAAAATCCAGAGAGACAAAAAGTATACTACTGGTTGCCAGGGGCTGTGGGGAAGAGGAGATAGGGAGTGACAGCTAATAGGTACAGGGTTTATTTTTGAAGGTGATGAAGATGTTCTAAAATTAGATAGTGGTGATTGTTTCACAAGTTTCACAATTCTGTTAATGGACTAAAAACCATCGAATTGCACACTTTGAAAAGGATGGATTTTTTTGATGTGTGAATTATATTTCAAGAAAGCTGTTCTGTGTGAGTGAGAGAGAGAATAGCAGTTATCATTATCATGATGGCCTGACACACTGGGCTCCCTCAGGAAAGTTTAGCTGAAGAAAATATAAGAAGCAACTGGCCAAGTGGAACAGCTATCGCCAGCCCTGTGGTGCCTGAACCAACAAAGAGGCCTCCTGGTCACCTGTCACTATCAGTTGGTAAACACAAGGCTTAAGGTTCTACTGGGCAAAGAGGGGAGAAGGTGCAGAAGCTGTAGGTCCTGGTTCCATCACGTGGGAAACGAGCTCCAGGAGGCCCAGGTCTTTTCTAGCCTGGGATGGGGCACAGAAAGCTGGGTGACGATTACATTCTCTCACCTGATAGCGGCCGCAGGTGAGAATCTGCTCTGTCAGGGTGTTGTTCAGGTGGCCAGAAAATTATGCCAGGCTGCTGATCGAATGGGCATACAGGCCAGTTGTCTGGGCCACAGCTCAGATAGTGCCATGGGGTCGGGGCCAGGCCCCTGGTGTGATGGGTGCAAGTGTGGGCCGTGGCTGTCAGGCTCTCCTAGTCTCTCCCGCCTTCAGGCTTTGCCTCCCTGGCACAGATCTTCAGCCTAATCAGTCCTAAGAACAGTGGGGCCTCTGCAGGGCCTCATGAGCCTTGCCTCAAGGAAAAGTGCAGTTTTGCCTTAGAGCTATCTCTTAGAGTCAGGATTACAGGTGTTAGCATCTGGGCCCAGGGAATAAACTAAATATATATTTTGCAGACATTTGAATTAATGCATAGTTGTTACTGTCCTTTCCTCAGGGTCTGTCGTGACCCCAACACTTGGCTGCAGGCACAGTGTCATTCAACCCATGGGCACAGCAAAATGCTGTTTAAAAATAACCTGAATGGAGATACTTTGAAGCCACGGGGCTGGGCTTCCCCCTGCCTGTCATCAGGGCTTGGTGGTGGGTGCTAACAGCTGAGCGCCAGCACTGCACACAAACACTGTCCCTCACAGGGGGCACCGGCACTAACTGGGCAGGCTGGCCTGCGGGGGGGGGGGGGGGGGGGGGGGGGTGAGGGAGGGCTCTGCGCACAGGGTTGGAGGGTGGGCACCAGGAGGCCTTCAGCTCACTGTGCAGGCAGGACCCGAGCAAGGCCTACAACTGCGGGTTTAGACAGAGACTCGAGGGTGGAGGCCTTAGCTTATTTGTACTCAGAGAACAGGCCTGCAGCAGACGTTTATCAGGAGAATGTGTGAGGCAGTGAGGTGGGGGCCAGAGGGACCAGTGTGGCTGCCGGCGGCGGGGGGGAAGCCCACACGTGAGCAGAACGAGGGGAGGGCACAGTGGGGCAGAGGGGGGAAGGTGTCTTCTGCTGCTCGCTGAAGGACAGGCCCAGAAGGAAGAACAGGCGGAAGGATGGAAAGGAAGGGCAGGGCTTGCAGAAGCTTGTGGATGGATTGTGGATGGTAGAGGAGGGATGGGAAGCGGCGAAGTGGGCAGGGAAGGCCTCCCTCCAGGTCTCGCACTCCAGGCCCCTGTGGGCAACGGAAGAAGAGCACCTGCGCCAGAACCACAGGCTCTGGGTCAGTCGGCCCAGGTCCTGGCTCTGCACTCACCGCCCGTGTGGCCTCAGCCAGGTCCCTTCGTTGCCCTGTGTTTCAGGCCCCTCGCTGTCAAGTCAGGGTTGATGATATCATCTGCCTCTTAGGCTGTGCTCAGTAAGCACCCAATACATGCTAATGGTTGTGTTGTTGTTAATAATATTATAGCTGCTACTGATTAGCTGAGTTTATTGAACTCAATACAGAATCTCTTTTAAAAAAGCCTAACATTTTACTATTTTTCATGATGCTGATGGATTTAAATTTTGCTATTTAGGAAAAGAGGGTGTGGGAAGTTGAGGTAGAAAGGGAGAAGTTACTCATTGTTAGAGGCTCTCTTGATCAGAACTGGCAGTGAGTCCCACTTTGTTCCTAAATAAATGCCACCTCTCCAGATGGAAGGCCATGAATGATAACTGAAAAGAGCACAGCACTGAGACTCCACAACTCCAAGTTTGAGTCCCAGTATCATCCTTGCCACTGACACTGGACATGTTAGTTAGTTCCTCAGAGCTCAGTGTTCTCATCTTAAAAAGAAGACAAGAATGTCTTCTTTTTTTTAAAATAAATTTATTATTTTATTTATTTATTTTTGGCTGCATTGGGTCTTCGTTGCTGCGCGTGGACTTTCTCCAGTGGCGGCGAGTGGGGGCTACTCTTCGTTGCGGTGCACGGGCTTCTCATTGCAGTGACTTCTCTTATTGTGGAGCATGGGCTCTAGGCACGCGGGCATCAGTAGTTGTAGCATGCGGGCTCAGCAGTTGTGGCTCGTGGGCTCTAGAGCACAGGCTCAGTGGTTATGGCACACGGGCTTAGTTGCTCCGCGGCATGTGGGATCTTCCTGGACCAGGCCTCAAACCTGTGTCCCCTGCATTGGCAGGCGGATTCTTCTTTTTTTTTTTTAAACATCTTTATTGGAGTATAATTGCTTTACAATGTTGTTAGTTGCTGCTTTATAACAAAGTGAATCAGGTATATGTGTACATATATCCCCATATCCTCTCTCTCTTGCATCTCCCTCCCACCCTCCCTATCCCACCCCTCTAGGTGGTCACAAAGTACAGAGCTGATCTCCCTGTGCTATGCGGCTGCTACTCACTAGCTATCTATTTTACATTTGGTAGTGTATATATGTCAATGCTACTCTCTCACTTCATCTGAGCTTACCCTTCCCCCTCTCCGTGTCCTCAAGTCCATTCTCTACGTCTGCGTCTTTATTCCTGTCCTGCCCCTAGGTTCTTTATAACCCTTTTTTTTTTTTAGATTCCATATATATGTATCAGCATTCGGTATTTGTTTTTCTGATTTACTTCACTCTGTATGACAGACTCTAGGTCCATCCACCTCACTACAAATAACTCAATTTTCTTTCTTTTTATGGCCGAGTAATATTCCATTATATATATGTGCCACATCTTCTTTATCCATTTATCTGTCGATGGACACTTAGGTTGCTTCCATGTCCTGGCTATTGTAAATAGTGCTGCAATGAACATTGTGGTACATGCCTCTTTTTGAATTATGGTTTTCTCAGGGTATATGCCCAGTAGTGGGATGGCTGGGTCGTATGGCAGTTCTAGTTTTAGGTTTTTAAGGAACCTCCATACTGTTCACCATAGTGGCTGTATCAATTTACATTCCCACCAACAGTGCAAGAGTGTTCCCTTTTCTCCACATCCTCTCCAGCATTTATTTTCTGTAGATTTTTTGATGATGACCATTCTGACCAGTGTGAGGTGATACCTCGTTGTAGTTTTGATTTCCATTTCTCTAATGATTAGTGATGTTGAGCATCCTTGCACGTGTTTGTTGGTAATCTGTATGTCTTCTTTGGAGAAATGTCTATTTAGGTCTTCTGGCAGGCGGATTCTTAACCACTGCACTACCAAGGAAGCCCAAGAATGTCTTCTTGGCAGTGTTGTTGTAAAGATTAAATGAGATTGGGACTTCCCTGGTGGTCCAGTGGTTAAGACTCCACGCTTCCACTGCAGGGGGCACAGGTTCGATCCCTGGTTGGGGAACCAAAATCCCACGTGCCGTGTGGTGTGGCCAAAAAAAAAAAAAAAAAGGTTAAATGAGATAGTGTAAGTGGCTGGCATGTGGAGGCTCTCAATAAATGGCACCTTCATGATTCATGATAAGGCTGGGCTCATGTGGTGGGTCCGACCACTTCAAATCCTTGACAGGGCAGGAGGCCACAGTCTGGGCCTGCAGGAGACCCAAGGCAAACAACCAGTCCCAGGCCCCCTGGAAGGAACAAGATGGTGAGAGGTTGGAGAGGTGTCAGGGCCGGGGAGCAGACGCAACACTGGGCTGTCAGTGGTTTGCTCCATCCTCCTCATCCCGCAGCTGTAGGCTTGGTCTGCTAGGGGCTCCTGCCAGGAGTTGGGGGTCAGGGGAAAGGCAGAGAGCTCAGGACAGCTTGTGCAAGTTCAGAGTTTGGGTATTAGTGTAAGACAGCTAGCTACTGGAGCCCTCCGGCTGTCCCACCCAGAGTGGGTAGGATATCCTCTTCCTAGTCCCAGGGCCAGGCAAGGACCCTCTGGGCAGAAAGAAACCATCAGAAAGAACAGCAGCTTCTTAATCAGTCCAGGAGAACAGAGCCCATCCGAAGCGTTGGTCTGATCTCATTTAATTATCGAAATGATTCCTCTTCTTCTGTCCTCCCTAGGGCTGTGTGCCCCAGATTCCCAGGGCCCCAGTAATTGCCTCTCTGTTAATAGAAATCATCAGTATTTATTACACCAAGCACTCCAGCTTATTTCGGCTCTCCTTGTAGCAACATTAAGGCGAGGGCTTGGTAGCCTATCACCAAAGTGACTCTCCTTAATGACAAGAGTAAAGGCTCCCAAACTGTTCTCCTTCCTCAGGAGGGCCGAGGGAATCCTGAGCCAGAGCCTAATGAGATGAGCCGCGGGGTCTGCAGCAGGGCCCTGACGTGGCCCTGGGTGAGCAAGTACTACAGGGCCCAGGAACAAGTGGAATCCCAGCAAGATGACTGCTCCCACCTTCTCCCCAGAGGAAGTCTCCTGGGGGCTTCTGCTCCTTAGAGAGACACAGCAACAGGAAGTGACCTTAGTTCATATATTCTTGCTCTGCCACTCAGGGCCTTGTACACTGTGGCCTCCTGGAACCTTCATCTTCTTCATCTTCTTGTCTGTAAATCAGGAAGAATAATATCCACCTCCCAGTGCTGGCAGGAGGATTAGAGAAGAAAATAATGTGAAAGGATTCCAGTGGGCCTGCTAGGGAAGGTGTGCCACAAACCTCTCTTCCCTCTCTCCTTCTAGGAGTGGGTGCCGTGGGGATGAAATGATATGATATATGGGATTGGGCCTTGTGCAGTGCCTGGTGTGAAAGCTGGTTCCTTCCTGTAGCCTCTTCACCTCTGTGTCTGTTGGTGGACAGACGCGTCAAAAGACAGGCCTGAGCCAGGACCCCCGCAGTCCTAGGGTGCATGTGGATTTGGGCTGGACACCAAGCTGGCTGCCGCTGTAGCTTCCAGAACCCCATAGGCAACAGCAGAGAATCCCCACCCTGCTACACTCAGTTGTCATGCTCAGGTTCACTGTCAGCCCACCTCTATGTGCCATCAGGTGACAGCCCTGCCTAGGGACCCATCTCTGAAGAGGTGGGCACTCTGTGTGGCCTCAAGGGGACTGGACAGATGTGGGGTTAAATGCAGAGGTGACCTGGCATCTTCTGTTGACCATATCTATCTTTAGGCAGCTATGTCTTTTTTTTTTTTTCCTTCTAACCAAAGGTCTCACATATTTACTACTAAACCAAAGCACTAGTGCAGAAACACGCAAAGAGAAAAATAATTTTCCCAATAAAACACACCCAGCTGGTCAGACGGTAGTGATGTTCTCAAAGTGATATGGTAAGATGAAAGTGACCTTGACACAGCATAAATGTGTGCCACTTCATATGCGAGGCTCCTTACAGACCCAGCGTGGTTCTTCTCCAATGTCTTCTCTTGGAGTTGTACCTCATTTTATTACCAGTTTTCATTCGAATCCATTGGGGAATGGGATGATTCTGCTTTTGTTTCTTGGCCAGGAATTGCTTGATCCTGAAAGTCTTGTGAGAAGACAAGGCTTGTGAGCCTTGTGAGAAGACATGGAGCAAATCCAGCCGCACATAGGATGGCGGAGAAGAGAAGGCAGCTGTTGTCTTTTCAGGTCCTGAAGTGACTCAGCAGTTCAGGGAGCACAGGTGCGGAGTATCTGCTGAGGACTTTAACACGGATGAGGAAAGCCAGGCTCAGAGAAGTTTCTGAAGGCCCCAGGAAGGAGGAGACCGGCCCTGGAGCCAAGGCCAGCTGACTCCGAAGCTCTTGTCAGTCAGTCAGTCCTCTGCAGCCCCCTGCTGATAGTATCTGAGGAATTTATGCAAGTTAAACCACATCGGTTGTACACAAGGCATTATTCAGGAAGCTTTGCTAATTCATTTGTAAATATCCGTATGTCTTCTTTTTTTTTTTTTTGGTATAAAATGGCATGGATGTGTTTTCTGACAGTGCTGGCCCCCAAGAGCACAGGGGTTATCTTCAGTAGGCTGTGCTGGTAGATAGGGAACTGTGGAGCTGGGAGGGTGACCAGGTTTCTGAGTGCCAGAATGTTCTCAAAGTTCATATTTGAAGTTTCGGCATTAAATCCTATGCAACAAAAACATCACCATCTCCTCACCAAGTGGCCAAGGGAAACGCAACTCTGCCTCCACATCACTGGGTTCCTCGGTTTCCATTCTATTAATTTTTGGGGGAAACTTATGGTGCCCCTCACTTATTAGGAAGAAGAGGTCAGTGTTTGAGAATCAGTTTTACTTGTGATACTGGGGTCTCTCCAGTAGTGGAAAGAGAGAGGCAAAGATTTGGGGAAACTGAGGCAGAGACCAGCAGTGTCAGAGCAGCTGGGATGAGGAGATGAAGCGCAGGGACCCGGCCACAGAGAGACAGGAAGAGGCCACGGGTCTCCACTGCTTTCCACAGTCTCGAGTGGCTGCCTGAGCTCGTCTCTGAAATGCCAGACTCACGTGAGAGCTCGTCTCTGAAATGCCAGACTCACGTGAGTAATCACAGAGGTTCCTCTCTGGGCAGAGCCTCCCTGGCTGGTTCCTGTCCCGCCCTCACACGCGCATAAGGGAATTAAACGTGACTCCACTGCAGTTCCACGCAGTGACTTAGGCCGCTGCAGTCAGTAAAAACCCACTCTTGGAAAGAAACTAGATTACGGGTCAGGGAAGGGTGGGCAGTGCGCTGAGCAGCCTCTGATCATTCCCTGTGGGGGGCCTCCCCCATTCCTCTTCTCTTCACTTCCACCAAATTACCCACTGCTGCCAAAGTGGGGCCCCGGTTTCCAATTTGTTATTTAGATGGACTTTGCCTCGGACCCTCTGACATCGATGTGGCGCCACAAGATTATGCAGTGTGGAATCCAGAGGAGTTTTCACAATGAGACATTTTCTCTGGCGTCTGTCACTAAAAAAGCCAATCATCCCAATATTGAAGGGGTGGGTGGCACAGGCGCGTGGTCCCTCCCTGCCTGTCACCCTCTAGAGCAGCGGTCCCCAACCTTTTTGGCACCAGGGACCAGTTTTGTGGAAGACAATTTTTCCATGGACGGGGGCGGGGGGAAGATGGTTCAGGCCATAATGCGAGCGATGGGGAGCGGCAGATGAAGCTCTGCTCGCTCGCCGCCGCTCACTTCCTGCTGCGTGGCCCTAACAGGCCACGGACCGGGGACCCCTGCCTAGAGGGGGCAAGGTCAGCGCAGTCTCCAGCCATGGGGGCGGGTCTTACCTTACACGGGTGAGGGTCCACTCCATATGTCTCCAACGTCTGTGCTTTTCTTAAAAAGTTCAGCTCTGATGTTGCTGGTGTTTGGCCACTGGAATAAAGAAAATGGGATGATTTCAGGATTTCCTGCTCCCATAGGTTCCCCTGAGGTAAACTCAATTAGGAAGTGGTCAGGGTGTCTCACACTCCGATTTTTCCATAGAGTGTGCTCCCTGCTCCGTCCTAGGACCGACTTCAGAGACTCTTATCTAGGGTCAAAACCTTGGAAGTCTTCAGAGTGAGGCAGGCTACATAATGAATGACATGGGCTGAGTGTAATACAATAGGGAGTGGTGGGGACTAGGGCAAACTGGGAGTGCCACCCTGTCTAATGAGGGCAGCTGCTCCTCAGCTATAGTCTTGGAATGCAGTCTTGGATTGTAGTCACACCATCATTGCTAGGTGTGATTTTTTTTTTTTTTTTTTGCGGTATGTGGGCCTCTCACTGTTGTGGCCTCTCCCGTTGCGGAGCACAGGCTCCAGACGCAGAGGCTCAGCGGCCATGGCTCACGGGCCCAGCCGCTCCGCGGCATGTGGGATCTTCCCAGACCGAGGCACGAACCCGTGTCCCCTGCATCGGCAGGCGGACTCTCAACCACTGCGCCACCAGGGAAGCCCAGGTGTGATTTTTAAAGAGAATTCACAGATACCGAATTTTATGTGGCATTTCGGTTTTAAGTACTATGGGGGCAGAAAAAAAATACATCTGTAGGCTGGCTGCAGGCCATCTGATCTAGACTGAAACACAAAGAAGGGACCTGTGTATCTTGCTGCCTAACCCTCTTCCTTTACCAAATGGGAACACAGGAATGGAGGGTAAAGAGATGCAACAGAAGACAGTGCTGAGCTCTCCAGACTCCACAATAGCTCTGTCTGCCCACAGGGTGATGACTGTGAAAAGGAAACAAGCAGAAAAAAGGAAGAAACCAGCGCTGGCACCAAGCCATCTGAAGAAGGGGCCTTCAGCATCACTCCCCTCCTGGCTGCCTCTTTAGCAGGGGCGTGGATGGGCTCCACACAGAACCAGTGCAGGATCACCACAGGCTCTCTCAGGGTCCAGTGCCCTGGGAAGCTGACCTCCTTCTACAGATGTGGGATTGGCTTCAGTGTGAGGAGGTGTGGGCAGTTTGTCAAGTCAACGACTCTGACGGCTGGTGGGCAGGACTGAAACTTTCTAAGTTCATCATTTGTCTCAAGTAATACGGCAGGGCAGGAAGACCAGCCAGCCTGAGGGAGAAGCAGACCAGATTCCCTCTAGTGTCTTTCTGGAGACGCATCAATCAATCAGCACCTCAGCGGCTTCTGTGCTGCCCCGTATGAAATACACCATAAACTATAGTGCAGTCTGGGCCCTCAAGGAATGCATGTTAGAGTTGGAGAAAGGAAACACAGACACAGTTTTACATTATGAAGATGAGGCTGAGCCTGTGTAAGTAGTACCTGTGTAAGGAGGCATTTTGTAGAATGCAGATGTTTACACCCACCAGCGCACCTGAGACACAGGGAAGGTGTTTGGAAAATGCTGGCGCAGCAGGCAAAGGACTGGGCACCAGAGGCAGCTGAGCACCGCTACCTCTTCCAGGGAGCCTCCTTATTCCCTGTGTGGAGACTGGAGGGCTCCGTGGGCTGCATTCACCCTCAACCCTCTGGGACCCTCAACGTGGGCATCATTTCCTGGGGGATCCCCTGACGTCTATGAGGTTTCTGGAGGACTGTCCCCACTGCTCTGACATCTCCTAAAACCCTCCTGGCAGGGGCTCCCGGCTGTCCCAGCACACCCTTGATCTCTCCTTTGAATGAGCCAGGAGCCCTCACAGATGTGTTTATTCTGACCTGTACCACAAGGGGCCAGTATTCCCTAAGAGTGATGGGAGGAGGTGGGGCAGCACCTGCACAGGGAGAGGGGTGGGAGGCGGCTAGGACTGCACCTCCGGTAGGTGTCTCCATTCCTCTGGAGGGTGGGGACCAGTCCAACCACACACAGTGGGCAGGAGGTCTGTTTATAAGGCTAAAGAGGCTTTGGGGACGTATTTGTTGGTAAAATCTTTGAGTGAAGGTGAAGATTTTTTGTTTCGGGGGGCATCAGGTGGGAACTAGTTTAAGGTGAATGTTATCATTAGAAATATCTTTTTCCCACCCCGTGGACATTGTCCTTCCCCAGAAAGGTAGTTACACAAACATTTGAAAAGATTTTTTTTTTTTTAAATTGCACTGTATTAATATGATAGCAGGTTTTATTTTACAATACTGTATTGTATATAAATTTTTTCTTAGTTTATCAGTTTGGGGAATCTGTGCTCCAGTATGCCATACAAAGTAGAGCCTAAACACCCTTTTGCTGCTTTTTAAAAAACCAACCTTTGTAGAAAACACTATTTCATATGGGTGAGAGGATGCACTGATGCTATTTTATGGGATGTGGCACATTCTGGGTGACCTAGGAGAATCTGAGGAGGACGAGCCTCCTGCTTCCAGCTGCTTCTCCCCTCCTTCCCTCAGTGCAGGGGTGTGGGGTTGAGGAAGCAGTACTGAAGACACACCCTTGAACGAGGTGCTCTCAAGGTACCCACACCAGCTATGAATCAGGCCAGCCCTGTGTGGTCCCATCCACTGATCCAGAAGCCACCTGTCACTGTCACGGACCAAGGTCGGAGGCTTGCCCATTTTTCACATCCCCACTTAACCCCTCCTCTCTTCCCTCTTCTGCTGTTTACGTTTTCCTTTTCCCCAGTTCATGATTCTTCCCTCTGTCTCTTCATTTATCTTAGTGAAGCAAATACCTTTCAGAGGCCAATCCTTCTCCATTTTCCTTACCTATATAGCTTCTCTCTTGCCTTTGAGCCTCAGCCTACACCACTGTTCTTGCAGAGGGAGCCTTGAGGTTGTACTGTCAGTGGATCACTGAAAATGGTACATCCCAGAGTCAGGAAGGCTGGGTCTGCAGGAGCAGAGGATGCAGTGCAGAGGCTGTGTGCTCAGGCTGTGAGGGAGACAGTGGCCTGGCCTGAACCGAGTGTCACGCACCTGAGTTCTGTTTTGTGAATCTCAGCAATCTTCCTTTCCAGCTTCTCTGAATGTTTAGGGAAAAACTGGAACTTGGAGCTGTAGCCTTCAGGGTGTTTTCCTGGGTCATAATCCCCAATCTCCGCTTGCAAAAGGAAAGTAGAGGAAAACAGTTGTGCAGATAGGTAAATCATCACTGGCAAAACAACAAGAGATGAACACAGAGAGCAAAAGCTAAAGTCTGCACCACAGTTGCACAGAACAGTGGATCCTGAGCACAGCTGTGAGTCGGGCAGAGGGCATGTTCCTCAGGAGCAGGCCCACCTTTGTTCTCCCAGGTGTGCACAATGAGTTGATATCAAGGCCAAGTAGAGAAGGTAGAGCTGACCCTGCGTTCTGAGGTCATCACATGTAAATTTGCAATAAAAGAGCAGAAGCCTGCACCATGGCCCACAGGCTCCCAGAAGAGAGCCTGAGAACAATGCTCTTTGTGGCAGCACAGGAAACTGTGAGCTTGATCAGAAAGACAGAAGCTTTTGGGCCTGAGCCACCTCCAAAGACTAAATCTCGTTTTGAGGATGTTAGCAGGGACACAGCAAAATGATGAATGAACCATGACCCAAACCAGAACTCAACTCTCAGTCCCCATCAAATCAAATCCAGCGAATACATTTGAATAAATATTCACTGAGGGCTGAACAGGTGCCAGGCCCCCTGGAGAGGGCTGCAGAGTGGGAAGACTGGCTATAAGCAGGAAGTGCCGCTGAGTTCAGGAGCACCAGGTCCTAAGGCTGACTTCTCCATTCCCAGCAGGGGGTGGGGCTTTCTCGTCCTGCAGATTCACAGAGTCCATCCCCAAAGCTGCTGAGATCTCAGATCTGGGGTGGCCAGTGGGCCCACGCTACTCCCTACAACGTGTTCCTAGGTCAGAATCCAGGCTTCTCCACATGTAGCATTCCCCAGGGAACATTGTGTGTGTCAGGAGGAAGGATGTTAAGAAGTTCAGCTGCTTTGTGGTTGTCTTTTCTCCTCCCCTAGTGAGAACCACAACCAGTGCAGGTGAGAAGTCTTGAGTGGGGAGTAAATATTAAGAGGAAAATGTGCCCTTTTTTCACAACTGAATATTGTTGTGTGGCACAGGTCTCCTCATCGTGCCTTCCAGACTACTTGGGAATTTCTGTCATTTAGCAAGAGACTAAAGGTTTCCCTGGGCTTAAAGTCTGAAGTGATCTGGAGCCACGGAGTCATTTATTATGATTTTACTTAGAAAGCTCCAAATGGGAAACATCAATGTTGGATATCAATAACTTCTTTAAATTAAAAAAAAAAAAAAGAAAATTTCAATATGGTTGTCAGGGTAAAACTAGAGTTTAAAATTTCACTTAGATGGGACGAGGTTTTCCTTTAAAAAATGAAAGGAGTATCTTTGGGTACCTTAAAGTTGGCAAGTACCTTCTAGACTTCAGGCTTAGGAGGTTTTTAAAAACAGGAGTCTCAGAAGTCAAAGTTGCAATAGGCTGACTTTTACATTCTTAACGCAGCTGTGATATTTTTTTTTGCCGGAAGAACTTTAGTTTCTTGTTGGCAAGCATTTTTTTTAGGTTCTGTTCACAAAGTAGCTTCCTGGAGTTCACAGATTTCTGATTATGAATTCAGATTCTTTGATAGAAACTTCATGATTTTAGTGCTATGGTCCAAAATAACCCAGTGACAGCTTCAGGCCAAAGGACTAAGAGAAGTCTACGAACTTAGAATACTCAAAAGTCCCCTGCATTTCACGAAAGGAGAAAGGATCACATACGAAGAGTACATACCTTTCCCACTGTTTCGCAAAAACCGCCAGTCTGGGTATTGGCTGAGTACAACCCCAACTCTGCCTTCTTTGCATGTTAGAAAATGGGTTTGTTACTTGGAAACATTTTTAACTTAGAGCACTCTGAATGGAAAGGTCTCTGAAACAGATACCAGAATTCCAAGGTGCTTCACATCTTTGAGATTTGAATAAAAAGACAAGAAAAAGCTGATTTGGATTACTCTCCAGAGTCTTGATAACTTTATCGACCAAGGGTGCAAGGAAAGTCACCCCTCCTCGAACAGAGTCTGAAGGGGCTGCCAGAAAGACTTTAGGTACAAACGATTTAAGGTTGCGTGGTCAGAGCTTCCTGGGTCTAGGGAGTCCAGGCAAAGTCTTTTAACTCGGGCTCTGTTTCAAGTTAGATACTGTTTATATCCAAGAAGTAGTCATCTGCAGTAACTGAAATAATGTAATCAGTACTTAGCATGAAAGGCAAATTTATCCTGTCAAAAGTCATTACCTTGAAGGATATAAGCTGCTAACAAGGCAGCATCTGATGTTTTACAGAGGAGGCGGCCGTGGTACAGATCCCTTTTGATCTGCAGGAAGACTAAATACCTGGAGAGAAAACAGAAAATGAACTATAAAGGATTTCTTTGATTGCTTTAAAGACATAAATATGTAATATAAGCCTATCAAAATCTCTGTCGGGACACTTTTACTACATTAAAACAAAAATCTCAAAACATACCACAGAACAAATAACATTTTTCATTTCCCTGAAGGCTCTTTCAAGCACTTTGCCCTGAACTGATTTTGAAGTTCAATTCAAAACAACCTGTCAGTTTCCTTCTGTAGCTCAAAACAGAAATGGCGGGCTTCCCTGGTGGTGCAGCGGTTGAAAGTCCGCCTGCCAATGCAGGGGACACGGGTTCGCGCCCCGGTCCGGGAAGATCCCACGTGCCGCAGAGCGGCTGGGCCCGTGAGCCATGGCCGCTGAGCCTGCGCGTCCGGGGCCGGTGCTCCGCAACGGGAGAGGCCACAACAGTGAGAGGCCCGCGTAACGCAAAAAAAAACAAAACAAAACAAAAATGGCACTTCCTGGTTAAAAGCATCGTCCCCCAGTGCTGGGAGTTGGAAGGAGCTGGCCCTGCTCAATTCAGTGCCGAGAAAGAAACCTGTGTCATAAGAGAGGGGCTGATGGGGCCTCTCTCCTTGCTGACGTTGCCTCTTAAGAAGCAGAGAGGTGGTGAAGGAACTAGCCCCAGCGAGGGTTCTGCCTCGGCTTGCCAAGTCAATCTGTCCATACGTGGAATGGCCCTCATTATGGGCAGAGGTCAACCAGACCTCTCAGAATTTGAATAAGGTGTAAGAAGAGGCACCGGTGAAGGAAATGCAGAAACTTGTGGCTAATATTTCTTCAACCGTAGGAAGCTCTCACCTCAGGTGGAAGCAGGCTATCAAGAACAGCTAATAGTAGCTGATGTGTATTGAGCACTTACTGTTTCCCAGTCCAGGACTTACACACTTGACATCAGCATCTCACCTAATTTTCGCATACCACTTTGAGATATATATTGTTATTATCTCCCTTTTTTAAGATAAACTGAGGCTTAAGTGATCTTCTCATGGGCACATAACTGGTAAGTGGCAGAACCAGGATTCAAATTCAGGACTGAGGTTGGCTCTTCATCACTGTGTTATTCTACCCTCTTTGCACTATAACTGCTTTGTAGTTTCACAAGTAATTGGGTGGACTCTGTTGCCATGGAATGGAACTGTTGACGTTCCATTCTGAAAGGTCTTTACAAGGAGCCGGGTCTCTGATGTTCATAACCTCACAGGTGCCCTGAGAAGAGCAGAGGCCAGGGGTATCACACCCTTAAGTGAGTCACCTACCACAGTGGCCCCTTGGCAGGGGGCATCTGTGGTGGTTTAAAAATATGTCCACAGGGAATTCCCTGGAGGTCCAGTGGTTAGGACTCTGCACTTTCACTGCTGAGGTCGTGGGTTCAATCCCTGGCTGGGGAACTAAGATCCCACAAGCCGTGTGGCATGGTTAAAAAAAAAAAGTTCACAAATTCCTCGATGCTCCTCATTTCCAGAGGTAGAGCTTAATTCACTCCATTTGAGGGTGGGTTAGACTGAGTGGCTTGCTTCTAACAAGCAGACTAGAGCAGGAGTGGTAGTTAGTGTCTGACATCTGAGACTAGGTCATAGTGTCCCCGCAGCTTCCTCCTTGCACTCTCCTTCTCTTGGATCACTCATTCTGCTCGAGGACACCTAAGCAGCCCTATAGAAAGGTCCATGGTGAGGAACTGAGGCGTTCTGCCAACAGCTAGCAAGGAACTGAAGCTTTCTGCCAACAACCGTGTGAGTACACCATCTTGGAAGTGAATCCTCCGGTCAAGGCTTCAGATGACCACAGGCCCAGCCAACCGCTTGGCTGCAACCCCAGGAGAGACCCTGAGCCAGAAGCACCCAGCTAAGCCGCTCCTGAATTCCTGACCCACAGACACTCAGAGATGAGAAGTACTTTTCAGTGAAGTTTTGTGGCATTTTGTTAAACAGCCATAGATAACTACAGCATCCTCACAGGAGTAATGGGAATACGGTAAAATTCCCTTAAATTCCATCAGTTTGAACCAAAAAGAAATTGGGCACTCCCTGGACAACTAAAGGTGTTTCTATTGCTTCTGTTTTCAGGCTGAAGAATAAAACAGAGGATTCCATGTCCACCTGATCATGTGAAAATGCTCAAAAGAAAGAGGACCAATGACAGCACAACTTCTGGGGTGAGGAGGGGCACCATCACGTGACTCTGAGAGCTCGGGGCTTGGTGATTCAAGTCATTACATAGAAACGAAGGAGCAGTCAAACCTCCTTTTCTCCTAAAGCTTTGCTATTCAAAGTGTGGCCCACACGACAGGGGTATCAGCAGCATCTGGGAGCTTGTTGGAAATGGAGAATTAGGCCAATCTGAGACCTACTGAATCATTTTGACAAGATCCCCAGGTGATCTGTACATAGATTAAAATTTATGAAGCACTGTCCTAAGAAAATTCGCAAGCATCCTTCTAACCACATCAGGATGGACTGCCCTCCTCAAACCAAAGGGAAGGTGACTACTGTGGTCCGGAAGTTAACAAGAACTCCCCTTCTTATCCCAACCACTCCCACGCGGCCCCAAGGAGAACTGAAGGAAAAAGACAACGTGCAATGAGTAGTCATTTTTTAAGTTGGATCTACCAGATCAAGCTTCTCTTCACTCTGCTTCCCACGAAGAAATGCCACAGGTGTGTGGAAGGAAGGGGGCAGCGCTCCTCTGCCTCTCACTGCTTCAACTCCCACCTTCTACCGGCTTTGGCAGGATGTAGCAGCAAGCCTTTGGCCTCTTACTTACAGATCACTCCCGGGGCCTGAGTTCATGCATCACTCCTCCCACACCTCTCTGCTTGTCTGTATCCAAAATTCAGGGGCTGCACGTACGGGACTGAAGGAGATACTTCAAAGGCTCTGGATAGTGGTCCTCAATGTGGTGGCGAGGACAACACCCCCCACCCCGGGGAGGAGCATGTGAGAGTCAGTGTGTGGGTGCTGCTGGGTTTGAAAAGGCTCCTCTAGAGCTCCAAGGGGGACACGCTCCTCACAGTGAGAACCACGATAGGTGCATGACCGGTGCCTCAGGTGAGCTGCTGGGCGGGGTTCCTTCAGACTTCAGAAGGTAGAACAGCTACAGGGAGGTCAAGGGTAAGGCCGTGGGAACACTGTCAAGCAATATGGTGCAGCAACTGGAGGGGGAGGGAATGGAGGGGCAAGTCAACATCCTAAAGAAACACACCACAGTCTGCAGAGGACGAGATGAGCTCAGGAAAGAATCAACTGACAGTTACACTAGGGGTCCCCCCTCCCTTTTCTCCCCCAGCAGCTTCCGTCAAGCTTTGTGTTTTGTTCGTTTAAGGAGGTAACCAATGACTCAGTGTTGTTGGTCACGGAAATACATCCCACATGACTCATAGCATCCTTAGACCTATTCCCAAGAGGCCCTGGCATGTTCTCCCCTGCGACATAAGGGCCTAAGGAAGACTATCTTGTTGCCTGAGGCATTGGCACCAGGGCCACTGAGTTGCCAGGCAAGGGATCAGCCTGCTTATAATGAGCAGCTCATAATGAGCAGGCTGGTCGGGCTCCCAAGTCTCAGACCCTCATAGTAGGAGTTACAGAGCCTAACTCTCGCATTTTATAGCTAAGGAAACAGAACCCGCATGGTGGTTCAGTGAGCTATGGGTTAGGGAGAAAAGGGTCCTAAATGAAGTCAGGGGAACTCTTTGTCATCAGAGAGAAATTCTCACTGGAATGAAAAAGAAATCAGCTTTAGACCAGATTTAAGACAAAAAGCTTTCTCTTTAGGACACTTTTTTGGTTAAACTTTGCCTGTCTCCTTCTGGCTTCAAAGAGGCTTTACCTCACCTCCATTTTTGTTTAAATGCCAGGTTGTCCTAAATTGATGGAGGACCATCCAAAGGCAGAGTGTGTGAGAGCCTGAAAGACGACCAAGGAGGGCTTCCCTGGTGGTGCAGTGGTTAAGAATCCACCCGCCAGTGCAGGGGACACGGGTTCGAGCCCTGGTCTGGGAACATCCCACGTGCCGCGGAGCAACTAAGCCTGTGCGCCACAACTACTGAGCCTGCGCTCTGGAGCCCGTGAGCCACAACTACTGAAGCCCGTGCGCGTAGAGCCCGTGCTTCGCAACAAGAGAAGCCACTGCAATGAGAAGCCCGTGCACTACAATGAAGAGTAGCCCCCGCTCGCCGTAACTAGAGAAAGCCCGCATGTGGCAACAGAGACCCAACGCAGCCAAAAAAAAAAAAAAGAGAGAGATTCTTCAGGGTTTAAAAAAAAAAAAAAAGATGACCAAGAAAAACCTATGTATTTCTGGAACATGTACATCCAAGGAACTGGCTTTGGCATTCTGATTTCTGATATCAGAGGATGGGGATGAATCCAGAGATGTTTCCACAATTAAAGGTTCTGAACTCTGGAAAGCACTGGCAGCTCCTGAAGAGTTTCTTCCAAAAGATCCTTTGGCCCTGTCTTCCCTTCATTAGATTCTTCGCCCCTGGTTTCCTCTATTTTCTGCCATCCCTTTTCCTAACTACGATCCTGTTTAGTATGTCTTCCTCCCCCAGACTAGACTGCGGGCTCCTTGGAGTTAGAGATTATGCTTTGTCACTTTTAATATTCTTCTAGAAAGCCTATACATCCTGTGCCTATTCACCCTCCCTCCCACCCACCCATCCACTCATTCATTCATCCATCCATCCATTTATCCATCCAACCACCAACCCATCCATCCATCCATCCATCCATTCAACCATCCCTCTATCCATCCATCCACACACATGTGCCCGGTACAGCCACAGGTGCTGGGAATATAGCAGAGAACAAAGCAGAGTCCCTGCTCTTATGGAGCTTACATTCCAGTGGCGAGAGACAATATAGCAGTGATTTACTGAGTACATGCTGTGTGCCACACACTGTACAGTTTAACACGCACTCTTTCAGCAATTCTATGAGGTGACTACTGTTTTTATCCCTGTCTCATACATGAGGAAAGGGAGTGATCACAGATATTGTTGCTTGCCTTGTCACACATCTAGTTAAAGAACCACCTGGGATTTGAACTCAGATCTTTTTGATTCCTTCTCCCAGGATTGGCACACTAAACCTGCCACCAGAGTCCCCAGTGAGATAAAATAACATTTTATTGGAACAGAGCCAGGCTCATTCATGTATGTACTGTCTGTGGCTGCTTTCGCATTACAATGGTAGAACAGATTAGTTGCGACGGAGACCATATGGCCCACAAAGCCTAAAATACTTACTATCTGGTCTTTTACAGAAAAAGTTTGCCAACCCATCTTAGCCTAAGCTAGGCTCAAGTGATGTTCACTGATGGAATACATTACCTATAAACTCTATTAACTTTTTTTAAAAAAATAAATGACCTGAAAAGTCTATTAACATTTTTTGAGCACCTGCTCAAACATGTGTCAGGCAGTTTGCTTCCTTGGAAGGCGGGGCCCCATGTGCACTCAGTTTCCTTCTATTACTTGATCTTTCAATGAGTTCGAACACCTGCAGCCCTTGTTAAAAGCTAAATCTGGTGCCTATCTGGTGCCTAATCCCCATCTTCTCTGCCTTGTCTCTAGCTCAGACAAGAAAATCTATTTATTTAAAAAATGACAAAAGAGATTAATCAGGATTTGGCAACTAAATTTATCATCTGGGAAGAGTCCAAGAGATAAATTGAAGCACAGTTCTTCTTCATCCCCTCCTCTAAGCCTGGCTTTATGGGAGTAGCTGAGACGGCAGCGAAATCTAGGACTGATATTGCCAGGGAAAAAACCACACTGACAGCTAAATTAGTTTGGCAGGAAGGTGGGGTGGAGAGCTCTAAGCCAGTAATGAATTATGGGTATTGAATGAGGCCGGGGCAGGTACCCACTCTTTAAAGAGCAGCAGGGATGTGAATGAGGATAAAGACGCAGCGAAGACCAGGGCCTCCACAGAACGCCTCAGGGAGGGGGAGGCACAAAGACTCCAAATCAGGCCCAGGCACCTTGAGGTCCGCACACCTGACAACGCTTGGAAAATGCCCTCTAGGGAAGGAAGGCTGGTGAGGCAGAGAGCAAGGGGAAAATAGTCGAGGATGATGGGCACAGCTGCATGCGGAAGGGGCAGGAGCTCACATGCTTGCCAGTGTCTTTGAAGTTTGCTGACTTGGAGAGAGGCCTGGCCATGGCTTTCCCAGTCCTCACAAGTTAGCTGCTTAAGTGTTAGGACTCTAGCTAGGACAGAAAAGGAGTGGGGATTATCACATAAACAAGGGAGAAAAGCCAGAACCAACTGTACTTGTGCCCCATGCAGAGCACCTGAGGTCCACGGACCATGTAATCGACCTGGCAGTAAACAGTGAGCCTTTGCTCAGTGCCAGGCGCCCTGGGGGTGTATTAAGAAGTACAAGACCCCGTGTAGTGGTTAATCCTCCCAACAATGCTGGGAGGTACTATTACTATCCTCATTTTATAAATAAGGGATCTGAAGGTCAGAGAAGTTAACTATTTTATGTCCAAGGCCACACAGCCAAGAAGTAGCAGAAACAGGATCTGAGCCTCTTGGTCTACGCTGCTCCTTGGGTAGGAGGGTCTGTACATTAGTATCATGTAGTGACATTTGTTTTAGAAAATTGTATTGTTAAGACCTCCTCCTGGGACTTCCCTGGCAGTCCAGTGGTTTAGACTTTGCCTTGCAATGCAGGGGGTGTGGTTTGATCCCTGGTCAGGGAGCTAAGATCCCACATGCCTCACAGCTAAAAAACCAACACATAAAACAGAAGCAATACTGTAACAAATGTAATAAAGACTTTAAAAATGGTCCACACATTAAAAAGAAATCTTAAAAAAGAAAAAGACCTCCTCCTAAGGGCCAAGAGAACTATATATTTTTGTCCTTTAATCAAATCAGAAAGCCGTGTGTCTGTCGTGCTCTCACTGGCAGCCCTCTGAGTCGTTAGACCAAACCCTCTCATCCTTGCTGTTGGTCCAGTGACGTGCAGAAAAGGTGATCCTGATGCGAGGTGTTAGGAGGCGAGGTGCTAGGCTCTCAACAAAGATGTGTTAAATCTGCCCTGACATGTGGACAGGAGCGTGGTCTTCTAGGTCTGCCCTGGCACCATCACCTCTTTCAGGAGAGAAAGGTGGGGAGGGAGGGAGGAAAGGAAAGGGGGGAGGGGGAGGGAAGCGGGGAAGGAGGGGCAGGTACAGAACTGTGGCAAGCGCTCTGGAAGTCGTGAGCAGGGCAGGCTAGTGCTTTACCAAAACTCCTCTCTGTTTAAGTTGTTAAACACAGTGGTTCTACCCTCACTCTCCTGCCTAAAGCTACAGGATTGCTCATTAATATGGATGAGCTCGGTTTTCACAGGCAAAGTAGGGGCCACATCCACTTCCACATGGACGAGCAGAGCCTGCAGTTTCCATGTGCCCAGTAAGGAGCACGAGACTGGGTTGTAACTACACACTTCACTGTCCTCAGTGCTTTAAAGTGGGTGGTGGGTGCGCTCAGAGCATCTGGAGGAAACAACCTTCCTGATCCTTTTGATTCCTTCGCAAGATTCCCCTCAACCTCCACTGGGGCTCATGTGGAGTTCAGCATCTAGAAATAGGTCTCAAGGCCTTAGAGGACAAGCAGTCTCTACGCTGGCAATGGCCTCGTCCCAATCTTTGCTGTCTGTAAGGCTTTAGGGAGGCGGGGGCAGAGCTGGCAGAGCTGTCTCTTCCACGGCTCTAGGATTCCCTGGCATCATCTCTTCACCTAGGGCTCCACCCTTTACAAGGAAACATCAAGGTTTTGCTAATGTCCAAATTACATCTTTCTAATATAAAAATTAAGGATCCCAGTTCAGAGAGTTCTAAATCTCTGAGGTCAGACTTTTAGAGTGAATTTGGCTTAGATACACAAAACCCTTGGGGGAGCTTTGAAGCTCCAATTCACTGACCCTCTTGTAGGATGGTGTGGGCACAGAGGTTCTTTCTCATCCCCAAGGGGTGCTGGGTGAGACAGGATTCATTCCCTGTAGCTGCCTGCCACAGAACACGATCCCCACAAGGAAGAGTTTATCACGGGCCTGATCCACAAGCACATGGGAGGTCACCCACTTGGATTTAAAATCTTCAGTGTTTCCCAGCTCATTTTTCAGCGTCCTGCTTTACCATTTCCCAAGTACATTAGGCCGCTGGAGTCTATTTCAAGCCCCCACATAAGCAGCAACACGGCCGTCTCCAAAAACATCCATGGTGGCCACATCATTGGTAAAAGAACAAATGCTTTTGATTAATTCATTACTCCAGACCCCTTTGCAGATGACCAGTTTAAGACGAAGCATTCTTGAAGGAAAGAAGCTCACTCCGTTGCAATTCTGCTGAGGGGATGAGCAAAGAGAGCATGTGGAAATGAAATATAGAAGTAAGGCTATATTTAGGAAGAATTCCTTGCCTATCAGAGCTGGGAGCTTCCAAAGTAGAGGATCTAGGAAGCTACAGTCCCTCTTTCCTATCCTCTCCAACAAGTCTTAGAGGCTGAGGGACGTGGGCTCAGCCTTACCTGGTTATTTCTTCTTTCAGGGCAGCAGGGTCTGCAGGGTAAAACTTCACGCGGAAACACATGGTGAATGGAGGCTGGGCTGCAGAGAAAAAGAGGTGCCCATCGGGAAGACCTTCCCAGGAAGATGACTGGGCTCCCCGCCCCACTGGGATGCACAGGTCTCTGAACCATCTGAAGAAAATCTTCACATGTTTAGGGCCAACTTACACTTAGAACAGTGGAAAATTCCCAAGACTCACTGCAAGTGGGAGGTTTCCTCCCACCCTCCCCAGGGGTGAGGTTTCCGTCTTTTCATGGACAATACTTACATCTCAACTGCTTCCCCACAGACTTTGTAAACTCCAACCAATGCTGAAACAGAGAACACAGAACAAGAAAGCCCTAATGAGAAGCAGTGTCAAATATAACTTGTTTTATTCAATTTAAAAAACTAGACAGATTGTAGCCCAGGGTGAAAGCAGCTCAGAAGCTTGTGATATGTAGGCTTGGAGAGTACAGAATGATATGATTTTCTGAAATAAGCTCCCCATGGAACCAGCTGTGAAGGGGGGAAGAGATCCAGCTTCAGATGCCATTTCTGGGCTTCCCTGGCAATGCCGCCTTCCAACGTAGGGCGCCAGAGTTCCAAGCCATGTTTCTGGCAGGCCCGTAGGCACAAATGAATGCACATATGTGTGATGGGGACAGAGCCCCACCTGGCTTTTTAGTAGGGAAACACTCCCTTTAATGGGTTGTGTTTGTGTTATGCAGTGGGGACAGGATGACACACAGAGGCTATTGGTAGCAGCTCTAGAAAGCACTGGCAGGTGGAATTTCATAAATGTGGAGAAGGCAGGGATGGCTGGTGTATATTTGATCTTTGTTTGAGCAATGCATTGCCAACCCTTGTGTTAGGGAATACATCCTCAGGATTCCTTGGCATCCAGGGATGTTTAAAATCTAAGTCTCATAAGATAACTAACCGCAATCAATGTGTGGTATCCTGTTTCCCCTGGATTTTCACAGAGGCAGGACATAGTAGCAATGCATTTTTTCCCATGGTACTTACGTTTAGGAAAGGAAGCAACGAGAACGTTCTATGTCAGTTTCCCACTTCTACATGGATGCCTTATAAAATGCACTATTGATGTTTGTTGCTTTTATGATAATCAGGAACCTTGCTAATTTGCAGAGAGCTAGAACTGCTGATATTTGGGGTCTGATTATCTGGAAGTAGCTGAAAACCACTGCTCTGTGAGGGCAGAAAAGTCTATCTTGTTTACCACTGTATCGCTGGTGCCCAGCTCAGTGTTCAATGTGCAGCTGTAGAACAGGAGAAGGAACCAGGTCCACACCTCCCTCTTTTCTGACTACTTCTATTTAGTAAAACGTCTGGGAGAGTCCTCCCTCTGGCAGGAAAGCAGGCAGGGCCACGCAGACGCATCCTGGCCTCCCTCGATGCCAAGCTCTCACCTTCTGGGCTGGGCCGTGGGTCACACAGTTAATGGACCCACCAAGAGCCAGTTCTCCCGTCAGCTCCACATGGATAATCTGGGCTGACATCCTGCTCTCTTGCTTCCTCTGATCTGAGTTCCCACGAGGCTGGCAACTCATTAGAGCCACTCAGTGTGGTTAAGAGGTCCTTCTCACATTACACGGCCCACCGCGGCTTGGCTTCACAGGGGAGCAAAGGCAGGAGATGAAACTGCATGGAAACAACTGGGGTTCCAGACCATGCCTGTGAAGGCGGAGGAGGCCTGTCTGTGCGGAGCACACCAGAATTGTGGACAGTGAGAAGAACACAGCCAAGTGTCGGGGACTCAGAAAACTAAATGCTCTGAGGCGCTGGACCCATAGATTAAAATAAATAAATGAAGATAGATAGAAGCTAAGTGCAGTGATAGATCCATTATCAGCAGAAGGCAGAGAGGCTGAATGACAAAAGGCTATTCTCCTTGGCAATAGCTGGAGAGAAGACTTTAGTTTGTACTGGAGTGCGAGCTCCAGAAAGGAGTGAGGCTGGAGGAGACCACGAGCAGGTGGAAAGAAGGTGGAAAGCTTGTCCAAGAGAGGGTCTGGTAGAGAAATCTTGACAGGATCCCCCAAATATAGTGATGGCCAGAGTTACCTTCTGCAGCTGTCTGCCTATATCTGGGTCCCAGAATCACTAGCAAATTGATAACATTGGGTTGGAGAGGAGGGGTCAGGAGAAGAGTAAAAAGAAGGTTCAGAGAGCGGAGCTTCCTCCTGCATTTGGGTGAAGGAGCCAAGGTGGTACAATCTTCAGACTTTGGGGGCTTGAAGGAGAGGGTGAGAATAGTCTGAGACCAGGGCCTGAGCCAGGAACAGGGGAGGGGGAGTGAGGGCAGCTCCTCCAGGAGGGACCAGAGAAATCCCAGACCCCATGGAGACCCCTGCAGAGCAAGTGATGATGGGATGGATGTGAGCGCTGGGCTCTGCCACCCTGGTGCTCAGGGGAAGAGGTCTGGGGTGGGGCAGGGCAGGGAGCTCATCTCCTCCATCTCTATCGTGATCAGTAGATCTAGGACAATTCTTTACAGGTCCATTTCCCCACAGCTCTCAAGGACCCTCTCAAGCCTCCCTGCTCTCCTTAAACCCTCAATAAAAGCACAGAATCGTGTCACTTTAGGGTATGAATTCAGCATGGAACCCCCAGAAACCACACAGGCTCTGGCATCAGGCAGGTCTGAGCAGGAGACAGGCTTTGCCACTTGCCTTGGGCAAGTTCCATAACCTGTCCGAAACCGTCCACGCATCTGGAGAATGGATGGTATAACTGCGGATACTCATCTCATTCGTGGTAAGGATCGAATAACACATGTGAAGCTCTTAGCTTCGTGCCTGATGCACCTCATCCCTCAACGTCCATTGGCTGAAAGATCTAGGTTTGTGCCTAGCGTGGAGCCTGGCGCGAAGGAGTCACTCCGTGAAAGTTTATTTCTCCTTTTTCCCCATTTCCTTATTTTTCTGTCTCCTTTGGCTTTTAATCTTTGTCATCTTAACACACTCTCTTATCCTCCTCAAGCACATGCTGATCCAACTAAAAAATAATGAACAGGATACATTTTACCCTTTTTTCTTCATATGCCACTGTCTTTGGGAGATGAAGAGACCTTGGGGTAACCGGTCTTCCTTCTTAAGGAGAAACAGCTCTGACTCCCAAAAATAAACAAACTACAACAACAAAATCCCTCTGTAAAAGCAGTCTAAGACTCTACCATTACAGAGTGAACAGACACCTAGAGCATGTGAGGACATGTAGCTTCCTGGTGTCGTGGCACTTTGGGGGGGGTCTTATACTATCGTCCAGAGCTAAGGATAGTATTTATGCCAAGACAGTGGGGCCTTTACAGGGTGAGGGGCTGACCTCAACACTCCTCAAACACTGGTGATGCTCAAAATTCTGCTGAGCCAGGAGGAATGAAACATGGCAGCAAAGTGGGGCAGCGCTTGTCAAAGGAAACAGATTCAGGCTTTGGTTTCTTTCCTACAGCTCAAGTCTTCAGCATAAAACCCTAAATGTGACCTGGAGACACAGCGGCTCAGAGCATCAAACAACAAAACAACACCTGGGGACTTCTGTGGTGGTGCAGTGGTTAAGAATCCACCTGCCAATGCAGGGGACGCGGGTTCGATCCCTGGTCCGGGAAGATCCCACATGCTGCAGAGCAACTAAGCCCGTGCGCCACAACTACTGAGTCTGTGCTCTAGAGCCCGCGAGCCACAACTACTGGGCCCACGTGCTGCAACTACTGAAGCCCGTGTATCTAGAGCCTGTGCTCCGCAACAAGAGAAGTCACTGCAGTGAGAAGCCTGCTCACTGCAACGAAGAGTAGCCCCTGCTCGCTGCAACTAGATAAAGCCTGGGAGCAGCAATGAAGACCTGACGCAGCCAAATAATTAATAAATGAATGAGTAAATGAATGAATGAAACAAAAAACACCATCTGATTCTGGCCTGGAGAGGGAGTTACCTGTGGCCCTGGGCACTGGTGGGAGGCTGCGCCCTCCGGGGCTCCAAGGTCCCCAGTGGTGACAGAGATGAAGCTTATGTTTGGAGCTATGAAAAAAATGTGTGGACCCATGAAAGGGGGGCCCTCTGGGGCTCGTGGTGACAGTGCTTTTGGAGGATGGTAGACGACAGTGGGTGTGGGGAAGGGAGGCAGTGAGGCCTGAACGCTTCTGCATACTTTCCCACTTCGGTGGGGATGCCAGAGAGAACCTCCCCACAGCAAGCAAAGGGCTGATGGACGGAAGTTATAGGAACTGCAGGCGTGGGCCTGAAGGGTAGCTGGGCAAGTGGAGGGCAGGAACATGGCACTATAACCCACTAACTCACCCACTCATCATCCCTTCAGCAGATATTTATTGAGCATCCACTGCATTCTAGGCCCTGTGCTAGTTCCATGGGTTACAGTGATGAATGAGATAAAGTCCATGCCCTCGTGGAACTCATATTTTTGCAAGGAACACAGGTAATCAAACAGGCGATACCAGCATGGTGTAATAAGTTCTACTCCAATAGGGGTAGAACAGGGCACGTGGGGGCACATCAGAGGGGCCCCTCAGTCAGAGTAGGGGTTAGGGAAGGCTTCCGGGAAGAAGTCAAAGCCTAAGCTGAGACCTTACATGTGAGAAGGAGTTAGCCAGAAGGAAAGTGTGGAGAGTAGAGAAGTGAGGAAAGGGGAAGCGACGTTCCAGAGGAGAACTGTACAGGCGAAGGCTCTGAAGAGGAGAAGACTGACGTGTGTGGAGAGCCACAGTATCATCTGGTGGGGCCGCAGCAGGGTGGAGACAGTCGGGGAGATGAAGCTGGAGGAGTAGTCAGGGGCCTTGTTTCTGTATCTGTCCGGAATATCACAGTCCTTGTCAATGCCTTGTGTCTGTAGAGCCGCCCACGTTGTGCAGAGCAGAACAAGAACTGCAGGATTTGCAAGGGCTGAAAAGCCCACGTCAGTTCGGCTCCATCTCTGTCCTGCCCAGATGGGGTTCTTGTGGCACTCAGGTGAGACCCTTCCTAACCAGAACAAGGCGAATCAGCCCATTTACTAGAGAGGGGCAGGACAGCCTCAGCCTGTGACCTGGGCTCTGAGACCACAACACCCGCCCAGCTGCCCTGACTCTAACTGGGCAGCTTTGGGCAAATCACTTCAGCTCTCGAGGCTGCCATTTCAGCATCTAAAAAACGATGGACCACTCCGGCTGAGCTCTGCTACGGGGTCTTCCACGTCTCACAATATGATCTGAAGAGATGACACCGAACTGCAGGGTCCGGTTGGTCCCCGACTCCTGCGGCTAAACTCCGAACATGAGTGACAGACAGTTCAGGGCCTCAGGCTTACTGACCAACCCTCTCCTCCATCTGTGCTTCGAATATTGACTTACCCGCTGCTTATCAGGGTCCACAAAGCGGATCCCAAAATAGTCTTTCTCAAGCAGATTCAGGTGGTGGCAAAGAAGGTCAAACAGGTATTGGCCTTTGGCATCTCTCTGCAAAGAAAGCAAGCTCCGTTGAGAAATGGGCGGGCTTCTTCAGTGTAACTGTGTTTTGATGGTCATTAAAAATCGTTTGTAACAGTTGCATGAGGATGTGAAAGGGGCACATGTCCATAACTATGTCCTCCATATTGTGATGGATTCAACATTCTCAGGAATTCTGAGGCTTTCAGCACCTGGAAGGAGCCCAAGAACCCTTCCTTCCACAAAGATGTCAGAGAAGGCAGGTAAGAGTCAGGTAGGCCCAGTTCCCACCTATAATGCACACAGCGTTCCTCTGGACTGTCGTGTGGAACTCACCAAGTCCAGCTGGCTCTGCCTCTAAAGTGCATCATGAATCCTCCTGCTTCTCTGCATCCCCATCACCAACTCCCTCGGTGAAGCCACCACCACCTCGCAACTGGACCACGGCCAGAGCCTACTAGCCAGTCTTCTGCTTCTGTGCTCACCCTTTCTCCACGTGGCGGCCAGGGTGACCGCGATTTAGACAAACTGTCTTTTTTTAATGAATAAGTAATACAGGCACATAGTAAGATATTCAAACATACAAAAGAATATACTATGAAGAGTCTCCCTTTTACCTGTGCTGCAGTTCCCCATCCCCAGAAGCAAACCCTCACCAGCTTCTTGGGTATCCTTAATGAGGTTACTTTATACACGGGCAAGCCTATATACATATACATCTCCTGTTTTAAAAAGACATCAGCAGCATATTTTATACTGTATTCTGCTTCTTGGGATTTTTCCCCGTCACGGTATCTTGTGACTCTATAGCAGCACATATAGATATGCCTCACGGCTCTTAACTGCAGCGAGCACGCAGTGATCTTTAATGACTTTGCCACTCCTGTGTGACACTGTCAGCAAGGGGTTTCTCTTGCTCTCAGAATAAAATCCAAGCTCTGACCGCGGCCTCCAAGGCCCTACACGACCTGGCTCCTGCCTCCTCTCTGAGCTCACCCCAAATCATTCTTCTCACCACTCTCCGGCCACCATCTCTTTGTTCCTGAGCAGGCCAAGGCTTTTCTGCCTCTGCGTCTTTGTACCCCCTCTGCCTGGGATGCCCTTCCTCCAGCTCTTCATCTCCTTGAGGTCTCAACTCAAATGTCCTTGCTGCAGAGAGGTCTTTCCCTACAGAACAGCCCCTCCCTGTCACTGTCTGTCTCATTTATTTATCCTGTTTATTTCCTGCATGGCACTGACAGTCTGTCATTATCTTGTTGATTTGTTTACTTATTTATTATCTGCTCCCTTTCCACACCACACTTTTCATGAGGGTAGGAGCCCTCCCCCAGAAGTTAGCACAGGGCTTGGCATATGGCGGGTGTGTCCTCAATAATTATTTGTGGAATCAATGGATAGAAGGTGGAGGGGTGGCTAAAAGGTTTTACAAAATGTCAGGAAATTAGGCCACTTCTAAACCCATAACCTTCTCCTCAGGGACCTGCCTGGGTATCTCTGATGAGCTGGGAGAATGACTTGCAGGGAAGTGTCAGGACAGCTGGAGCTCTGCAAGACAGCATCTCTGGGCCTGACCCCAGTGGTCTCCGCAGTTCAGCTGAGATGCTCATCTCTGGTGGATCTGTGTTTAATTCCACATGCAAATCAAGGTGGTCTTCTAAGATCCAAACTATCTCACCTATGACAAGGCCCAAGGCCACGGGTAATTACAGAAGGACCTGGCCCTGCTCCTGGAATGGACAGATCTTTAAGACCTCAAAAGGTTTACCCCTCACCTCTGTCCCTTCTGCCAGCTCACCCTATACTTTTCCAAGGAGAACTAGGGCAGGATATCAAATCTCTCAGTAAGTATCTTAAGAAGCTTACCCTTGCAGGATTGGAAGGATGAGTGAGTGGACAGCTCAACTAAGGAAGATGGTGCCACGTGGGCACCTCCCGTGCTCTTCTGCCGGCCTCACACTCCCGCCCACAACATAACCTTGAGGCAGCTGGCCCCATTCTTACACCCTTCGGTCTCCCACAATCAAGAGCTACTCTCACAACAGAGCCTTGTTATGAATCACACGGGGACTTCAGGGCAGTGGGCCACAAACCAGGTCTTTCAAAGGACTCCATCAACAACTGTCACTGTGGGCAGGGGCTGTCAACTCTTTCCTTACTGATGCCCCAGAGTGTGGGAAGAGTTTAAAGTCATTTTTAAGGTTCTTCTGGGAACAGAGAAAATATGCTTAACCCTGTCTCAAGCAGCATGTCCTGTACTGTTATCTCTCTCAAAGCAATTGAAATGGAATACTAAGAGACAGTTGCATATTATGAATATTTTTCCCTACAAATTGTCCTTTGCACCAAGCTGGCTACTACACTGTGATCAGCTGGGGTGAGTTTTTTGTTTTTAATTGAAGTATAGTTGATTTACATATTATGTTAGTTTCAGGTGAACAGCACAGTGATTCAGTATTTTTGCAGATTATACTTTATTACAGGTTATTACGAGATAATTGGTATAATTCCCTGAGGTATAGAGTATATCCTTGTTGTTCACCTATTTTATAAATAGTACTTTGTATCTGTTAATTCCATACCCCTAATTTGTCCCTCCTGGTGTGAGTTTTAATGGCTGAAGAAGTTCGCTTCCTTACATACAACAGCCATATTAGCAGAAGCCTGGGGCAGCCATGGGGAAATTGCACCTCTGTGATAGAAATCACATGGACTTTTGATAAGACTCATGTCTTCCCGCAGACACAGAGAATGGACTTGAGGACACGGGGAGGGGGAAGGGTAAGCTGGGATGAAGTGAGAGAGTGGCATGGACATATATACACTACCAAACGTAAAACAGATAGCTAGTGGGAAGCAGCCGCATAGCACAGGGAGATCAGCTCAGTGCTTTGTGACCATCTAGAGGGGTGGGACAGGGAGGGTGGGAGGAGACGCAAGAGGGAGGGGATATGGGGATGTATGTATATGTATAGCTGATTCACTTTGTTATATAGCAGAAACTAACACACCATTGTGTGAAAGCAATTATACTCCAATAAAGATGTTAAAAAAAAAAGAATCATGTCTTCCACAAAAACAACTCATACTCATGGGTTGGCAGCTCAAATACACTTGTAGGGCTCTTAGCTGGTAAGAACATTAAATTCAGCAGATCCAACCTCAGAGTTCTTGCACTTCACAGGAAGAAAAAGGAAGCATGGCTTTTCTCTTTAGGTAGTTGTAAAAAAAAAAAAGACACATCCCATTGTACATTCCCTTTATCAGTGAAAAAGGATCTTTTTATCATTATTTCTCAGCATCTGGTGAAACCCCTGCTCCCCACCATGAAGTCAGAGTTCCCTCAGGTTCCCACTTACCCGTGGCGGAGGCATGGTTTTGAGCTACGAGGCTCTTGTGGAGACTAATGAAGAAAGCATCTTCCCTTGCTGTGTCTCCAAGGCTGGAGGGAAGGAAGGGAGAGAGGTAGGAGCAGAGCTCCTCCTTAGAGTGGAATCCCGTGAAGTTTAAAACCCCAGAAGAAACACAAAGGCAGGATCTACTGAGAGCCGCTGGGACACCTTTCACACAGAGATGCAATCGCCCCTCCCTTGGAGCACCCAGTCCTGTGGCTGGTGGAGTGGCCCCAGGCAGTCTCTGGGGGGAAGGTCACAAGGTGGGCCCTCGTGGTGGGTTTCTACAGCGAGCCTCTGGCAGGGGCTAGGGTTTAGGAATTTAAAACTTCCTGGCCTTGCACTTCCAGATGCCAGCCGTGTCCTAGGATTCCCTCTCCGTGGTCTCCCTGCCTTAAGGTGGGGCTTTCTGGAATATTCTCTGGCAGCCAGCTTTCTCTTTTGGTGGGACGGCAAAGTCCAGTGAGTTCTGTCTCCTTTTCCCTTTGCTGGCGGTTGCCCTGGTGCTATGCTAACCCGTGTGTTGTGTGCTCAATGTTGCGCCATTGATTATACTGGAGAAACAGGCACGCACGCTGACAGGTGATTACTGTTTAGTCACAAAGTCGGGGCTCCAAGCCTGAGGCCGTTTATCTTCAGGACAAGCGAGCTGAGGCAGAGCACCCGAATCCAGCTAAACCTCAGAGGTTATTCTCTTCACAAGGACATTAGTGGGTCAAAACAATGTATTAAGCACCCATCTAAAAAATAAATGTACATTTTATGAACCACAATAGCACCTACACACATTTGAAAATAATAGTACGTACACATGCATCCTTTTAATTCTCTCTCTATGGTGCTCAGAATGATTCATGAGCCCCTTAGAATCGTTTTGAAACTCAGAGGTCAGGAGAATTCATATTGGTGCTTCTTCCTGGAGGGCCTGGTTCTAGTTCTCTATGGTTAGTCTGTTCTTTAGGGAAGGCACTGAAGCAGCAAGCAGTAAGCAGGCTTGGGCCAGTGACCTAAACTGGTCAAGGTTAATTGCATTTTCTGCCTCACGGTCAACACCCTTGGGTAGGAGAACCGCTTTTTTTTTAACCCATCACAGGGTCAATCCCAGGGACTCTGGCGTGGTGCATCCAGAGAAGAGGAGCTAACATGTAGAAAGCTCCCCACTCACTGGGCCTTATTCAATCCAGCTTACCTGTGAGGCAGGTAGATTATAAGTAGAAACTACCTGAGTCGTGAAGGGGGCACGAGCCATCACAACTTTCTCAGATCCTGGGCCACGTGCAGTTAAAGGGGAGCTGGCCATGGTTTCACGGCCCTTCAAGAAGGCAGAGGGGAGGTGGAAGGTTGCAGGAGGTGGGCACCTGCCCTCCAAAAGCACAAGAGTCCGGGGGTGCGGAAAGGCCATGCCAGGATGGGGGGTGCCTGGGGGAGGATTGTCCTCGGGGACTTGAGAGGGAGGGATAAGGCACCCGGCACCCTAGGGGTAGGATGGCATCCCAGCCTCTTTTCTGTCTTAACTTTACATTTACACTTCTTGTAGGCCAAAGACTTGCTGGCTTTCCTTATCCGTGTCGTCTAAGGGCATGTGTGTGCAGCCGTCTGCCAGGTTCAGGAGCAGGCGCTGTGTAAAAGCACTTTAATGTCGGAACTTCCCTGGTGGCGCAGTGGTTAAGAATCCGCCTGCCCATGCAGGAGACACGGTTTCGAGCCCCGGTCCGGGAAGACCCCACATGCCGCAGAGCAACTAAGTCAGCGTGCCACAACTACTGAGCTTGCGCTCTAGAGCCACGAGCCACAACTACTGAGCCCATGTGCCACAACGACTCAAGCCCGTGTACCTAGAGCCCCTGCTCCACAACAAGAGAAGCCACCGCGATGAGAAGCCCGTGCACCGCAACGAAGAGGAGCCCCCGTTCGCTGCAACTACAGAAAGCCCACGCGCAGCAACGAAGACCCGAAGCAGCCAAAAATAAATAAATAAATTTAAAAAAAAAAAAAAAGCACTTTAATGTCACAGAGGAACAGCCACATTAGCTCATCTTCTCAGGGCCAGGGCATGAGTACGCTGAGCCGAGAAGTGTGAATCAATCACTGGGGTGCGGTCCTGCCCCTGTGTTCGCACACTACAAGCGGCCTGGCTTTCTGAGGCTCAGGGAGGAGAGGGGGCACGAATGCTAACAGCAGGGCCCCATATTTCTTAACCTCTGCACCTTCCATGCCAATTTACATTTTCTTTGAAGGGACAAAACTCCTGCTGAGCTTCTGGCCCAGGAGCCCACTTTTCTTGCTTAGTCATAAACCAACAAAATCTGCCCAGGAACTGCTGAGGCTGCGGCTAGAAAAGCAGCCAGCTTGCTCTGGTAGAAGATGAGGGAGGGTAATTGCAGGGAGAAATGCAGCTGTACTCTGTCGTATAGCGGGTTGCCCCCAGTGCAGCAGGGCCAGAGCTTAGCCCCATGCAGGCCCTCGCTCCCTACTCTCAGAGGAGATGGACTCCAGAGCTCGGCAGTTAGGCTGGGAACGATGGGGCCCATGCAGGTACTTGGTACCTAGAATGTAGCACCAGGAGGCTGCCCTGGAGCCAGGTGGCCATGTGGCTCCTGGGGGAGAGGTCCGGCCCTGAGGAGGGAAGGCAGAGTTCCGAGGGAGAGAGGAACAGTGGTCACCCAGACTCCTGCAGCCACTGGCCCCAGCTAGTCCTTAACAAACGCAGCACCTTCTTGCACCAATAACCAGCCATTCTACATGCAAACTGAGGGAATTGGGTGCTTTTCATGATGCAAATAGGTATGTGTAGGTTCAGATGCCAGGCATGGGGTCTCAGGGACCCCCTGTTGGCAGTCCTTGCTTGGGTCAGAGAACTGGCTGAGCTCGGCGCCACATGGTGTGTTAGGCAGAGGACATGCACGTGGGGCAGGCAAAACACATTCCGTCTGGAACGTGGAGGTCACTGTGTGCAAGTCAACAGCATGGGAGGGAGGACTACATGTTCTGTTAGCACAGATGGTCCAAGCCAGACTCAACAAGGGCAGTTAAGACCCTCTGAGCAGATCCTCAAACCTGCTGTCGTAGAGCTTGTAAGAGCAGGGCTAACGAGAGGGCTAGACTTACTGAGATATCAGTGACGATGCTTCAAGAGCCAAGGCGTCCCCATTCCTACGTGGATTCCTTGTATCCGGTGAAGTTACCAGAAGGACAAAAAACCAGAGCTGGGCCTGAAGGAAAGCAAACTCGTCTCTCTTTCTCATGGTGAGGCCACTTTTACAGTAACGTGACTCTTAGAAGCGTCACTGTTTCTTGCTATTGATGGAATAAATTTCGGTTGTATTTTTCCAGCCAGTGCCGAATACCTCAGTGGACTAGTCATGTCATAGCTATAGAATTACTGAAAACTCAGCCTGGCTTGTTAGAAAAAAACTCAACACTTCGTATTTGTGTGAAGCTCATATTCTCTCTCTCTTTCTCACACACGCACACACAAACACGCACACACATACACGCACACCCTCTCATACAACTATGCCTACAACGTTGCTTCAGATAATTTGCAAAGAAAGCCCAGCATTTTGGGGCAAATAGACAACCCCTTGGAAAGTAAACTGGTGCAGCCACTATGGAAAAGAGTATGGAAGTTTCTCAAAAAACTAAAAATAGAGTTGCTATGTGATCCATTAATCCCACTCCTGGGCATATATCCAGAAAAAACTATAATTCAAAAAGATATATGCACCCGTATGTTCACAGCAGCACTATACACAATAGCCAAGACATGGAAACAACCTAAATGTCCATCGACAGATGAATGGATAAAGATATGCTACATATATACAATGGAATATTACTCAGCCATAAAAAGAATGAAATAAGGCCATTTGCAGCAACGTGGACAGACCTAGAGATTATCATAGTAAGTGAAGTAAGTCAGAAAGAGAAAGACAAATACCATATGATATCACTTATATGTGGAATCTAAAATATGACACAAATGAACTTATCTACAAAACAGGAAAAGACTCACAGACATAGAGAACAGACTTGTGGTTGCCGGGGGCAGGGGGGTGGGGGAGGGAAGGACTGGGAGTTTGGGATTAGCAGATGCAAACTATTATATATAGAATGGATAAACAGCAAGGTCCTACTGTATAGCACAGGGAACTATATTCAATATCCTGTGATAAACCATAATGGAAAAGAATATGAAAAAGAATGTATATATGTATAACTGAATCTCTATGCTGCACAGCAGAAATTAGCACAACATTGTAAATCAGCTATACTTCAGTAAAATAAATTACTTAAAAAGGAAATACAATAGACATCCCCTTGCACCCAACCCTAAAGACAGTTTGAACAACACATTTTATTGCCTTTTTTTTTTTTTTTTTTTGCAAAGGGCAATTGCACATGCTATTTGTCAAGGCTGGGAATTTCTGGGGTTAAGGGGAGTGGCCTGGGTGGCCAGGGTCAGGAGCACCATGTCAAGCTCAGCATCCTCACTGGTTCTCATAATCCTGCAGCCTTCCCCCCAGTCTCCTTGCCCCTCAGCAGAAAACTGCTTATTGGCCAGTACCAACAAATGTGGTGGGTTCTAGGCTGGACACATCCAATAATGAAGAGTCCAGGATTTCTGAGTCCTGGTGCAGTCTCCTTTTCAATTACCCTATCAGGTCACTCACGTTCCCTTGGAGCTGACGTGGAGGCAAAGAGAGCAGAGAGGGGGAAGGGCCCTGGGAAGATTCACTGAGGATGAGCCCTGGGCTTGGAGTCAAGGCCCTGCTCTGCCACTTCTCAGCTTGTGACCTCAGACCTGTCCCTTAATCCTTCTGAGCTTCCGTTTCCTTAGCTACAAAACAAGATTAACACTACATCTCTCAAAGGATTATTGTGAGGCTCAAAACAAGAGACATAATATACATAAAAACCCTGTGTATTTTCCCTACCAACCTCCTCTGCCTCCTGTGACCCCTTCTTCCCTTAGGCTGAAT